GCGCTTAGGTACTACTACTACTACTAGTACTACTACTACTACTACTACAACAACTACTACTGCTACTACTACTCCTACTACTCCTACATCTCCTGCTACTCCTACAACTCCTACTACTCCTACAACAACAACTGCAACAACAACAACAACTACTACTACTACTACTACTACTGCTGCTGCTGCTGCTGCTGCTACTACTCCTGCTGCTGCTGCTGCTACTACTACTACTACTACTACTTCTACTGCTGCTGCTGCTGTTGCTGCTGCTTGTGCTACAGCTACTGCTGCTACTGCTGCTACGCTGCTACTGCTGCCACTGCTGCTACTGCTACTACGGCTACTACTGGTGCTGCTACTACTGCTACTACTTCTACGACGGCGACGACGACGGCGGTGGCGCCGACGACGATGATGACTCGACGGCGGCGGTGACGACCACTACCGCGACCGCGACCACGACCACCACCACCGCCACCACCACCACCAGCAGCACCACCACCAGCAGCACCACCAGCTGCACCACCAGCAGCACCACCGGCAGCACCACCAGCAGCACCACCAGCAGCACCACCAGCAGCACCACCACCACCAGCAGCGCCACCAGCAGCACCACCACCAGCACCTCCACCAGCACCACCACCTGCACCACCAGCAGCACCACCAGCAGCACCACCAGCAGCACCACCAGCAGCACCACCAGCAGCACCACCAGCAGCACCAGCAGCACCACCAGCACCACCAGCACCACCACGACCACGACACGAATGCAAACCCATCCAAAAGCTATGGTGTACTAGCTTTCATCAATGCCATTCCGGTTGTCGACAGTTTAAGAACCATGGTGTTTCGATGCTCCTGCCGACTGCGACGGAGAGCAGCTTGCCTGACCGCCGTCTTTGTGTGGGCGACGACGCAGGCCATCTGAAAAAAATCACTTACTCGACGGAAGCATTGTACAGGGCTGCACCGCACCATGTTGGGCCTCGAAGCATATCCATGAGCTGTTCAGATTCTCCTCGTCGGCCATGTGGTGGAAACCTCACCGCCCTGGAGACCGAGGAGTGCTGGGCCAGTAGCAGGTGTAGATCCATGCTGGCGACGGCAGCAGATCCATATCGTGCCGGTGCATGATGCTGATAGGCCACATAATGTGGAGGTTTTCACGGCACAGGCCTGGTCCTGTTCAAGCCGAATTTTGTGAGTGGCCACAAACCCCCGCCTGCTGATTTCCAACACAAACTTGCAAGACCCCGACTGCCAGTCCAGCATGCAGGAAGACACGTGCCGTGCTGTCCTGGGGTCAATACGGCCTTTGGGCAATGTGGCGACCCGACTGCTGTTTGTCGGCTTGGGAGGACTTGAGGGTGTTGTGCATCAGGAGGGGAACTTTCACAGGACCAAGGATCTCGTCCACATGGTCTTGTCGAGAGATGTGAGATGTTACAGGATGCTCTCAAGCTGCGGTAATAACCTCGTCGACAAGAGCTTAGATGCATCGTTTCGGTCTGTTCACCAAGACCTAAGGAGTACGCTGACATCTTTGGGCCCCCGCAACATCATCACGGTGTTGTGTCTCGGCCCAGTCTGCAGAGCGTGGCAGGTTTGAAGTGACACTTGGTGGGTCCAATCCAAAGCGAAGTTTTCGTCCAATAGCTCGAGCTTTCGGCTCATGTCCGACAAGCAACACAAGCCCTGTCATGTCCACTCTCACAGCTGTAACAGGCAGGGGATGCTGCCCCAGCTGGCCAACACCACCTTCTATTTTTCAGCAGCAGACTTCCCCGCTGTGGACGGGCTCGTGGCCCTTACGATCGACGACGGCATTTGTCGAGGTGAGTGATTCTCGATGTCCCCTTTTTTCTTACATGCTGAATCAGGCAATCGGCCCAAACCTGGAACCGACAACCCCTGAAGCAATCCAAACAGGCGGCAACTGGTCAGCCTCACTTCTTCCAGAGGTGCGGTGGGGCGGAGTTGAGGATTCCTGACACCAAACTAGAGTAACTAGAATCCTATTCCTTTGCAGGACCCGCTTAGTTTGAGCTTCCAAGACCCTGAAGGTGCTGGAGCTGCTGGCCGGCAGCTCTGCCAAAGCCACCTTCTTCCTGAGTCCCTTGGTTGGGTCATTCCAGGGGTCATTCCAGACCTCACGGCTGTTCATTGAGTGTGCGAGTGATTTTGGGACAGTCATCGCCCCCTGGGCTGCCCTTACTCCAAGTTGGTGATCCAACCGGAACTCTGGCGCCAAAGCCCAAGTCTGCTGGTCTTGGACAACGGAGGCTCCCACTACGTTCGGCCAAAAGACCTCAGGAGGTACGACATGTTCGGGCGGGCCAAGCTGGCAGTCATTGCAGCCTTAGAGGGGCGGGTCACTTGAGGTTGGAGCAGCTTCAAAGGTGGGTTTACAGGTGTTTTGTTTGCAAGTGCAGCGAATTCCTTTGGGGATGTCCGTACACTCCAGTACTTGCATCGTGCTCTGAGACACTGGTGCCACGTGAATGTCGCACAGTTCAGATTGTTGTGTGCTGATTGCTGCAGTAGTAATACAAATGAGAGCAGCGCAGCGCCGCAATTTCATCCGCAGGGCAAGGGACTAGGCATGTGACGCTGTGAAGGCTGGCCTCTCACGGACACGAGCTGGCGAACCACATGCCCGAGGTGCTGCAGCAAGTAATGATTACTGCTTCTACCATGTCTCTGGAGTTTGGATTGTTGAAAATACAGTGAAGCACGGGATGCGTTGCGTGCGGACCCCGCGCACAGACTCCTAGGAGCCTGTACCATGCTACAGAGTGACTCCCATCGCCCCCACATTCTGTTGCTGTGGCCGCTCTCCAACTGTGTGCCAGTGCGTGCTGCATGTTCTGTGTATCTTCGGAGGACAGAGAATATGCCTCATGGCCAGTCGAAGAGTTCCGGGAAGCCCTGGATGAGACGGACTGCTCCTGCTTGTGAGTCATCAAGTAGTGGAGCCGCAGTTCTTGCTTGTACCAACGGTGAAAGAACTGAATCTCTGAAGCCGACCGTTTCTTAGGTTTAGGAGAGTAGAACATGATCTAACGCATCCAAAATGTGCACCGCGCCATTGCGGGAGCCGAGACGTGCCGGGTGCCCGTCGCGGAACAGCCGCCAAATCTCTTCGCCCCCATCTAAGGTAGCAAACCCATGGTGTTCGCGCCATGCACCATGAGCTCTTAGATTGAAAGTAGGCGCAACGAAGAGTGCCGTTACATGAAGACGAAAGAGGATTCTGATAGGGACTGGTTTTTGTGCATTTTGGTTTCACATCAACGAAACTTGGTTTTCCACGAGCAATCCCAAAATTCCCATGAGTTTTGTTGTCTAAGAAATTGAAAACATGTCGATTAACATTGCCAAGTTCTATTGTTTTTTAGGAACAACTCAAAATCTGGCCAGGCTCTTTTTTGGTTGTTTCGTGAAAATCAAACCATGATTTGTTTCGTTAAGGCGAGACCAAAAACACTCCCTAGGAGAACAGCACGGATCCAAAAGTTTCAGCGGACCCCACCCGCCCCGGTCGAAATCGTGCTCCCGCCAAGTGCAGTTTGGTTGCGACTCGTGCTTCCGCCCCTAGGATGGTGCTCCTGCCGCAGTACCTTGTTCTCACGCTCATGTTTCTAACGCGATGCGGGTGCGTATTCTGATGTGCCGACCGTCCTCCCGCCACAGTGTGGCTCATAGGGTGGTATTGGGAACCTGAAGTGTGCAGCCCGAGCTGCAGCCAAGATTTCCGCGGCACCGGGTTGGCACTGGGACGGTCACGTGGACTGTGGCGATGATGGGCACGGCAGAATATGCACGGCACTGTAGCGGGAGTATGCTATCGCATTTTCGCTAAGTTCCGGAACTTCTTAAAGCGGCGAGATGTCGAGCCTCATAGTGTGGAGATGCAAATGCCAAAATAAGCCCCGGATTGGCGGGAACCCGATCTCCGCCAAAAACATCACAAAATATGCGCAGCACTGGCGGGAGCGAGATTCATCAAGTTGGGAAGTGTCAATGTAGTGGATGCGTCATTGAATTCTCGGCGTTTCGCAAAATTTGGTCTCATGTTGACGTTTGCATTCATCTGCCGCTCTGACCTGGCTTGCAACTGTCCATCGACATCTTGGAAAGTCTCCCTTAGCTTAGCATGTTGAGACGTCCCCACTGTGACTAAGATCTCGAGACACGTCGGTTTTTCGATGATCCAATGTGCAGACTTTCCGATGTGCTCCACCTCTTCTCTGGTGTTCTGCTTGTGTGACACTTTAATCTCCACGAGCCAAGTCGAGCCATACAGATATGGGACATGAGCCCAAAGGGACCGGCAACATGCTTTCAGGACGCAGTGCTGCGACCATTTATGCGAGCGGATGCACGCCATTGGTTCCGTGCCCCCCAGGCATCCGGTGGGGCTCGCATGACACGTAACGGCAGAATTCTTGTGGCTGGCCGCGAACCCTCAACCGCCCAGATCCCAGCTAACACCGAAGCCGGTTCGAGACTATGGACCTGCATGTTCTTGGTCCGTGAAGGCGTGGCTTACATCTGACATGGCCGTCGTTTTGCAGGCAGGGACGGTGAGGGAGCTGAGCCTTTAACGATGCTTTCACAGACTGCTTGTCTCCAGAACGCGAGGTAAGTAATTGAAGGGTCGTACGGGGTAGTAAGTACGGTAACTTCATCACTAGCGGGATATCGTGGGATGAGGCGTCGAGCATGAACCTCTCCGAGGCCAAATCAGTCTCAATTTTCGATTCTGCTCCGGCTAATTCCTGCCCTTCTCCATGTCCATGACGGTTACAGTCACCTTCCTAAGCGGGCAGACGGTGCCCGTTGTCGTGCAGACCGATGCAAGTGCCGATGAGCTGAAGAGCCGGGTGCAGCATGCATGCCAAGTTGGAATTCGGGACATCGTCAGCCAGCAGGGGAAGCTTGTACAGGGCAGTGACAAGCTATGCGACAAAGGCGTACAGGACGGCGATGTTCTCACCGCGACTGTGCACGGGACTCGAATAATAACGCGCTTCGCTTCTTTGGAGTACCCCACAGGCCCAGCCAAATGGGGCTCGGTGTTTGCCGCCATCCGCCACGATGGCCATGTTTTGTGCTGGGGCAACCAGCGGCAGGGTACCAGTTACAAACGTGTGCAAGAAAAATTGGTGCATGTGATGGAGATTGCTGCAACCGAAGAGGCGTTTGCTGCAACGCTTGCTGATGGCTTTGTGGTGACTTGGGGGGACTCAGAGGGTGGTGGCGATAGTTCCGCAGTACAAGACCAGCTTGTCTCTGTGAGAGTGATAAAGGCGACGGCGGCTGCTTTTGCTGCACTTCGCGCAGATGGCCACGTCGTTACCTGGGGTTGCGAGAGCTTCGGAGGAGACAGCGCAGCAGTGCAGAAAGACTTGCAAGATGTGGTGGCAATAAGCACGACAGAAGGGGCTTTTGCCGCCAAGAGATCTAACGGGACGGTCGTGACCTGGGGCCGTGCATGTGACGATGGTGACAGCCGCACCGTGCAACACCTGCTGCGAGAAGTGCAACAAATAACAGCTTGCGCCGGTGCATTTGCCGCTCTGTGCTCTACGGCCGAGTTGGTGGTTTGGGGCTCAACACAGGCAAAAATGTTGCGGAGTGTGAGAGCCGTGCGGGCTTCTTGGGGCTCTTTTGCTGCGATTAGGCTGGACGGGTCTGTTGTGACATGCGGCCAGGCAGCCGACGGTGGTGATAGTAGTGGTGTGCAAGAGTTGCTGGTTGGTGTGCAGGAGATCCAGGCTTCAGCCAGTGCCTTTGCTGCGCTGCGGTCTGATGGACGAGTAGTGGCCTGGGGTGATGAGGAAAACGGATCGGACTGCACGGCGGTGCAGACTCAGCTGCAGAACGTGCGCCAGCTCCGATCTACCTGGTCCGCTTTCGCTGCACTGCGTTTGGATGGCCTGGTGGTAACTTGGGGCTCCTTAGATGATGGGGCAGACATCAGCTCCATCGAAGAAGAGCTTGTGGATGTGGTCGAGGTCGTGGCAACGGCTGCAGCCTTCGCAGCTCTTCGATCAGACGGGTCTGTGGTGACCTGGGGGGATGCAGAGTACGGTGGAGACTGCAGCATGGTGCAGCAGCAGCTGCAGAATGTCAACGAGATCACCGCCTCCTGGCGTGCCTTTGCTGCGATCCGGGCCGATGGACTCATCGTCGCATGGGGGAACCCAGAAGATGGAGGTGACACCAGCTTGGTCCAAGACGATCTCGCAAGTTTTCGCTACGGTGATGAAAAGGGAGATACGGGAGTGTTGTAGTCACAGATGCGCCTGCCCTCCCCCACAGACACACAACTTACAGCTGGAAAAGTGCAGAGCGACAGGCTGTCTGTCAGGCAAAAGGCACATGCGACAGTCATTGACTCGAGCTGGTTGCAATCAGCTTCATGAGACGGAGCAGAGCTCCTGGCAAGCCACACGGCCATTTCTGAACTCAAGAAGCCCTTTGCCCGACTCAGGCCAGAAATATGTCCCACGCCCTCGGAGCCTCTCGGCTTTACAGAGTTGCAGGAGATTTTTGAAGCTGGGGGTAGGATGTTTAGGGCCGCTCAAAGTTCCGGGCAGGGAGAGCCGTGCTGTGCTCGTTAGAAGCTCTGAGACAACGCCCCAGCCCTACAGGCCCTATAGAGCCTGCTTGCTCTAAAGCTCCACTCTGCCGGCGGCGCGAAGACACTTAAACGTGCAGCACGGAGCAACTGCTCGCCAGGCATACTCGGCCCTATCTTCGGAGGCACCCAAGAACCCCAAACTCGTAGCATCTGGTAGCCTAAAATGGCAGCTTCAAGGACTGCTATGCCGACGACTGGGCCATCCCTGATGCCTTCCGGGTGGCCTCAGTTCTCCTGCGCCAGGTGATTTGACTCAGAGTTCTCCCTGATACGTGCGAAGTACCTTGTGTCATGATGAGTCGAGGGCACTGAGGCGTCAGCGTTTAGTTCGAGGATCTTCCCAGCTGCATCCGTCTGAACAGAGTCTTGTGGCATGGTGCTTGCGTAAGGTTCAGTCTGGATCGGCACCTTATCTGGCCATATTCAATCTGCTTGCGCTGCGCATCGATGTGCCGCATACGACCACAGCTTCTTAACATCCGAGTGTATATGGTGTCTCAGGATCTGCTAGTCACTATGTTTGCAGGAAATAGCATCAGCGCTTCCTCTCTACCCGGCTTCTTTCATTCATTCCGTAAGTTCCTTTTCGAGGGCAGCGGCTGTTTCTCAGGTGGCGGTCCTTCACATGCCGCAGCGGGGCTTCAGACAGCACACCTTGGAGGCTTCCGTGTCGCCTCCCTTGAGCTAATCTCAGAAGCGTCCTAGAGCTGCAGGTCCTGCGGCATTTCCTCCAGGGCCTGGCGCAGCGTCAGCTGCGAGCAGTGACGCTCAGCCAGCTTGCCGATGCCGCGCTGCTTGGGCAGAAGCCAGCGGAGAAAAAACCCCATCGTTTGCAAGCCCCGGCACGGAGCGAGTCAGGCTTTCGGGGTTTCATTGAAATCAAGTTCGGGAAGGGCAGCCGAAGGCTGCTGTAGCCATCCGCATATGACGGGAGAATTGTAGGTTTCCGCAAGAGGGTGTTACGGAAGAGTGGCCATGAAGAGAAGCCCACGCCTCCTTTTGGCTCCAGCACTGGCCCGCGAGCGCTCTCGGGCCGTCAACATGAAGGCAGCCCTGACCTCGAAGCTGAGCAGAGACTTTGGGGGTTTCTTGAGCCTGCGAGGGTGGATAACAAAAGTCGAAGTTCACGACTTTGGTCATGGTTTCGTCTGGGTGCTTAGTGCTTCTTATCACTCTTGCCACAGTGCCCATCTTTCTTGTTTATGCGTTCAGATGCCTTGATCCCTTCGTTGTGCGTGGTTGGTGCAGCAAAGTTGTGGTGTACTTAGATAGCCCAGTGAGACTGCACAGTGCCGGGTGCTGGTAGCTGGATGAGGGCAGGGAGTAGGATGCGTTCCCAGGCCACAGGTGGTGCAGAGGACAATGAGGGCCAGTTCAGCCAGTCGAACCACCACGGGTTCAGGGTGTTGCAGGTTGCGAGCACAAAGGGCTGTCCGCACATGGCAAAGCAATGCACCGTAGCTCAAGTGTAGCTCAGGTGTAAGAACTCGTAAGGATTGGCGTCCTCCTGGCCCTACTTGCTACGTCCTTCCTGTGCTGGCCACAGCAACCGCGACGACTTTTGCACCTTGGCAGTTGGAGCAAAGGGGAGGCAGGCTTCACTCCTTGGCATCCTAAACTCGGACCCTCATCGAGCCTGCGTCCCGCACACAGATTCTGTCTCTTTGAGAGCGTAGTCTGGCATTTATGATCACAGCAGCCGCTGGGCGACTAAATCTGTCACGGCGCTTTCATATAAGTGCCACGTGAGCCACAAGCGCCTCTGCAAGCAAGCATTTGGTTTCAGAATACTTTTCAGATGTTCGCATTAGGACTTTGTCGCTCTCATGGTCCTCGTCTCCGTTGGATGCCGGTTGGGTAACTGCGGAGAACCCAGAGGAGGACTTCAATAGGCACGGCCGTGCTGGGATTTAAGGTTCGGGTGGGTCCGGCGTCGGCCTCTTTATTTTCGTGTTCTATGGGGTTTGAATCGGGGCTCACTTGCCAGACTTGCATGCATTCTCACGATAAGAGTCTCGCGATCTGCCCTAGAGTCCAAGCTTGTGAGCAAAATATAGCAAAATACTATATGCAAGATGTGATACATCAGTCTTCGACTAAAGCGCTCGGCTCTGTGCCGCCTGCAGTTCCCTTGCAGCAGATAAACTTATGAGCTTCAAAACTCGTCTTTGTCTTTGGGGCGGTCCCGGGCACAAACACCCTTCTGTGCAGTCATTTCACATCGGGGGTCCGTTTAATAATGCTGGGAAGGGATGATTGTCACGGGGGAAGACATTCTTTGGGCGGTGTACACTCATTCCAAACATGTACGTTTCTTTGTTGAGGCAATTAAATGTAGATGGCCGAGACACTTGAAAATCGGGGTTCCTAGACTGGCACCGCTTAGGGCTAGCGGTCCCAAGCAGCAGTTAGAGGCCTCCAGGACCGCTGCCTTGAGTCGGGACCGCTTAGGGCCAGCGGCCCTAAGCAGTCCCGGCCGCAGCATCATATTTGCATTCGCTCTGCCGTGTCATCCTGAAACCCCCGGAGCACACCCAACTGTCAACTCGACGCGGACTCTGTAGGTGGGTGATCGTTGGACGTGCTCCCCGTCGGTTTGGGGTTGCAGGACGATAGGACAGAGCGAATGCAAATATGATGCTGCGGCCGGGACTGCTTAGGTGGCCTTCAGCGGTCCCAAGCTCAAGGCTGTGGTCCTGGAGGCCTCTAACTGCTCTAGGACCGCTGGGACTGCTGGGGGCCGCTGGCCCTAGGCGGTCCGAGTCTAGAGCCCCGATTTTCAAGTGCCTCGGCCATCTACATCTAATGGCAACAACAACGAAACATATATGTTGGCAATGAGTGTAGACCGCCCAAAGAATGTCTTCCCCCGTGACAAGAATCACTTCCCTGCGTTATTAAAGTGACCCGCGATATGAAATGACTGCACAGAAGGGTGTTTGTGCCCGGGACCGCCCCAACGAGTTTTGAAGCTCATAAGTTTATCTGCCCAAAGCTCTCTCAAAACCCGCAGGAACGCAGGACTGCAAGCACTGCGAGGGAACTGCAAGCGGCACAGTGCCGAGCTTCTTTAGTCGAGAACTGATGTACAAGAGCGAGGTGACGGCTGCACAGCTGCGGCGGGCCACCTAACAGCCCTAACAGCAGCTTCAGGTCATGGCCCAAGCATCAAGGATAACCCAGGATCATGTTAAAGCTTAAAGCAAGATCCTCAAGAATCCGAGAATAATATAGGCCCGTGCCTGCTTTCCCACAGATATGCCATGCCGTTAACTTTGCCGAAACCCTTCACAGACAAAAAGGCCGAGACCACCCGAATCGGGTCTTTTCCAAAAGCATACTTCACCCACACCTCTCGGTCGCACTCCTGCAGGTGGATGTCCAACGCAGGCTTAGCGGCAGCTTCTCAACAGGGCCCTGTATCGCTCCGGGAGCTTTTGCTGCACACGGTGTGGGAAGTTCCCCGTAATCGTTTTTGTGTGCGTGTCTTGGACTAGCTTGTGTGTCAATTAAGCGGGTAAATCTACAAATGCAGTCGGTCGGCTGGTCAACTGTTATATCTGCATTCTTGTGCCTTTAAGCATGCGTAGTGTAAGGCGCCTTCTGATGCATCCATCTGTGTTTTGTGATCGATTAGATACCGCAGATCTTGGCAGATGTATGTGAATGCAGCATTGCGGGTCTCGTCGAAGCTGTGCTGCTCATTGACCGCATAGTTCTGCTGCAGAAGGCAGGGCGAACCTCTGTCTACGAAAACTACAATCGCTTGAACACCTGTAGCTACCGCTCAAGCTTGTTTTGGGCCCTTCAGCCGTTTGAGGATCGTTTGGCACTCCGCGTCTTGGCCTTTGCTGTAGATGTGCTGCCGCCCTCTGTGCTGCAACTCAGCCGGCAAGCATCATCTCTACCGTGAACAAAATTGGGGATAAATCATGCCGTAGCTGCCGTAGCTTCAGCCCATCTCAGCCAAGGCAGGACTACGAGGATGAGCTCTCACAGGCAAAGGGGCCGTTGCAAGTTTCTTAAAGGCTCAAAGCTCCTTGGCAAGCCACTTCCAGGGACTCCCATGTCGAGTTTCGGGCTCCGTTCAGCTTATCCAGAGGGCTCCATCTACGCGTTCGGCAGGTCAGTGGAATCGACTTGGCTGCCAAGCGCGCCTGGACCGGAATAAGCGAGCCCGAGCCAGAACAGCGACTCACTAAGAGGTTTCAAGCCTCTCAGGGTCTTTGTTGCGATGCCAACGGCGTGAAAAGAATCTTTCTGCGCTTGAATCACAGAACCGGCTTTCTTTCAGCACCCAAACCGAGAATCTGCAACCCTCTACCTTGACGATCGGAGTGTGACGGAGCCTTTCCATTCTCACTTTAACCACATCAAGTCGCCAGACATTGAGTTCAAGGTGTTCTTCTGTGCAAAATCGAAGGTGCTGTGCATTCTTTATCCGAGTCTTCCAGCCGATATGCTTGATTTTATGCGAGAGTCCCGTCCTCGAGGGAATAGGCTTGGTCAAGCAGTCAACTCTTACACCTGAAACATTGAATCCCCCCGCCCTTGGAGCACTGCCGCCCTGCGGTTGAGGCCCTCTGACACAATCGGAGGAGATGATCAAGGAGGCCACTGGAAATGTGTGTGAACATGGCCCGAAACATACGAACTACCTGTCCTCCCTCAAGGTCCCGCAGTACGTTCGGCAAAGCAGTCATACGCCTTCTTGCAGGGGGACCTTCGGTTGGATGTGTTTCGAGCTTTGCGACATGGAAGCTTTCGGACATCCTCGAAGCACGAGTCCTGTCTCCCCGGCCCGAGCCCATCCAACAGATTTGGTAGCTGTGCCTTGCTTTGGGGCATCGCTCGGTGAGACGGCACGGTCAAAGGCATATGCAAAGCAACAACTGCATCTGGGTGCGGCAGAAGTCTGCTCACACTCGCCGCAGTGCCCAGTCTCCTCCTGGAAGACTTCCACATTCGCATCGGATCTCGCTGCATGTCCCTGCATCTGTGGAGGGTGGCTTTACGCGGCTAGAGAAGGCCACTTGCAAGGTACCGCAACAGGTTGGGTTGTCTTGCTGCTATCTGACCGGATCTCTTTGCCCTCGGATCCCTTATGATCTTTTGCTCCGTTCATAGCCCTCAGCTCCCTCGGCCCCAGATGTCGTAAACCCCAATCCCCACGAGACAAGGATGTGCGAGTCGAACAGGGCAAAGCTCCGAAACAGCCGGGCCAGGCTTTGGCCCAGCAGGCAAGCTCTGGCGAGCCCTTAGCGCCCCACGGCAGCAAAGTAGACGGAAGTTCAAGAGCGAAGCACAAAACTATTGTAAAAGAGGGTTCGGGGTTGTTTGCTCTACGCTTTATTGCCAGGCAGCGTCGTTACAGGTCGAGGCTCATCAGGCTTTGTTCCCTGCGGGATGGACCCATCTGCTGCTCAGTTGTGGCCTTCATATGCCAGACAACATATGGAGATCCGAAGTCTCGATTTCTCTTGGCGAGCTGCGCGGTCCCACCCACACCAGAGGTTTTTATATACCTGAGCTTCTCCAATCGTGAGCCGAAACCTCAGGAAAGGCACGAACACCACGTTGAAGTCCCCGTCCCTTCCCTGGTAGCTTCGAGGTCGGTTTGCCGCGGCGTCGCAAACGCACCATGACAGCTCCAACTAAGCTCACCATCATAGTTGCTCTGCGCAAACTCGTAACCGAGTCGTAACCTCGGAGCCCAGGCCTAGGATCCTTTCGGCTTTCGAAGCGCAGGGCCGTGAGTCCTTGGTCCACTGCAGGTCCTCGGGTGGCTACAGCTACTGGGGCTTCCTGCCGTGGCGTGCCCGCAGACAGGAACATGGCATCTCTCGCCAAGTACGCAAAGGATCGCATGCAACGGCTGCTGTACCACGCACGAGAGGTTTAGAGGTGTTCGAACAAACTAGTGGCTACAAGAGCCTATCAAAGTTAAGTGGTAAGCTTGCTCCTGCAGCTTGGCTCGAGTCTCATCGCTTTTTTCGGGAGCAGGTTTCGCCGAGCCATCGAGTGCTGTGGCCGGCCATGTTCTCGTGGTGCCTCGCGGGCACTCTTTCCGATGAGTCCAGCCACGAAGGTATTGCAACCGATCTTCCAGAGACGACCCGCCCAGTCTACGAGACCCACAAAGTGCTGGACAACAGTGGCGACAGCACCAAAAGCACCGCAGCAAAGGACATTTCAGATCCTACAGCTTCAATGTCCACGGCTGCCTCTTCCTTCGACGAGGGGATCGAGACGGAGGAAATTGGAACAACCATGAAGCTGTCCTTCAAGACCCCTCAAGATCATAGAGTGGATGTGTGTTTTAACTCCAAACCTTTGTGCTTGCGCTTCTCGAAAAGTATGCCTTTGACTGTCACTGGCATTGGCACGGAATTTTCGGGGAGCGCGCGTGTCATGACATCGTGGGTGCTGACGCATGTTGATGATGTGCCCGTCGACATGGACTACAAGTACGCAGCCTGCCAGATCAGACATGCCACTAGATCGCTCCCCCTAAGATGATGATCAATATTGATCGTTTCGTGGCAGGCTGATTTTAAGAGGGTCACGGGTGTGAGGCTACGGTTTTTTCGTGAGAATGATCTTACGATTCCTCACGTTCGTTCACGGAGCACTTCAGCATCCGCAGTGCTGTGTCTTGGCAGAACCGCTTGAAACTTGATTTCGAATGCTGAACTGCTCTCACTTTGCGTGGCCAGGCCAGAGCATAGCTGGAGTATAGCTGGCGGCATACGCTCAGTTTTCGGATCGAAGCCGGCTCGAATAGGAACACGGCGCTGCGCTTTTGTAGAGCCTCGCGGTGCAGATGCGGTGAATATTCGCCATGCTTTGCCCACTCTTTAAGGAGAGATCCAGGCCCGACACTGCCCAGTGCTAGACTTGGAGCTGTCGGAGTCGGCGAGAGAATTCGAAGATCGAAAGATCCACATTTCTTTCTGTTTCCTTCTGCATGGAATGCTGAGGCCACGAGATGCCACAGACCTGTGTCAAGCCGTGGTGACGTGAGTGTTACGGTGGGATTCACAGGTGACCGATGGTTGCCGCGAGTGGAGTAGCCGAATGCAGCACCGCAAGTTCCAAAACAAGGAAGATTGTTGGAGCTTTTCTCTACCGCGTTTACCTCTCCAGCCTCTTTCAGACTGAAGGTGCAACACCTGCCCGGTGCTTTTCAAAGCTGAGGAAGTTTGTGGATCGCGTCTTTCCCAACAGAACGACTGTGACTTGGTCGTCGCGCTGCTGGCAGCAGGCATGTTGTTTCTTCCGCTTCGACTTCGGTAAGGGTCCAACGTTCTGCATTGGCTAGTACAAGTGCGCGAGCTGTCGTCCGCAACGTGGAGGTGATAGCAGCAGCAGCAGCAGCAGCAGCAGCAGCAGCAGCGGCAGTAGGAGAATCAGCAGCTGCGGCAGAGGAAGTGCTATTAGAAAGTAGCAGTAGCAATATACTGTAGTAGTATTCGTCGTAGTTGTACAGTAGTAGTAGCAGCAGTAGCAGTAGCAGTCGCAGTATCAGTAGCAGCAGCAGCAGCAGTAGCAGTAGCAGTAGCAGCAGCAGTAGCAGTGGCAGTAGCAGTAGGAGTAGCAGTAGCAGTAGCAGTAGCAGTAGCAGTAGCAGCGGTAGTAGCAGTAGCAGCAGCAGCAGCAGTAGTCGCAGTTGTAGCAGCGGTACGGAAGCAGCAGAACAGTAGCAGTAGCAGCAGTCGTAGCAGTAGCAGCAGTAGCAGCAGTAGCAGTGGCAGCGGCGGTGCTGGGTGCTAGGTGCAGTGTGCTAGGCGTGCTAGGTGCTAGGTGGTAGGGGGGACGGGGTCGGGGGTAGGTGGTAGGAGGTGTTGGTGGCACGTGGCAGTGGTCGTGATAGTAGCATCGGAACGCCTGTTGTGAACCCCGAATCCCGACCTGCGAGATGTTTCGGGTTGGGGGTGCAGTTGAAAAGCAACGTTTGCACGGCAACCGGTGAAAAGCTGTGCAAGTGCAGCGAGTTACCTTCTGCATGTTGCTCTGGTGCAGATCACCGCATCGACGGTGAAGTCAAATGGCGGCTGGGTCTTGCAGGTGAAGGTGTCGAAAGCCAAGCATGTGCCACTTGTCGAAAAGCGAGGTTGAGATGACATGAAGCAGTAGCAGCAGCACGGACATGACAGAGGATAGTTGCAGCCTTGCGCAACCCGGAGCGAAATCCGAGCGCAGAGGTGTTGTTTCGCAATTGCCCCTGCATCATCGTAAGTACGTGGATCGTCATGTTAGTTATCTGCAGCACGGAGCAAGCTGAGCAGTTTTGACGTTGCTGAATTTGGTCAATGCCGCTATGGCTTTGGGAGTTATCGTATCAAGTTCTGTATGTCTGGCTCGCTACCGCTCGCAGCTTTGTCATTCACCATTGTGGTCACTGCAGCCACACGTCGACGCGTGTGGTGCTACAATCACCCGTGCTAACTAGATTGTTGTAACCAAGCGGCGGTTTTGTTGCGATACAGAGTATTCATGAAACCAAGGCTGTGCAACGAGATTTTTGGCTTCTTCACTGGCGCACACTTCCGTGTCGGATCATTCCCGGCACCCATCGGAGGGACCAAGACCTTCACCTTCGACAGTGAAAAGTCTCTCAGATGACATGATGCTGCCATTTGTCGTTGTTGATGTATGCTGCCACGGGATGTGGGCTGTCCGTCTCAGGAAGAAATCGGCAAGTCTGTCTGCTTTGGTTTTTACCCGAACGTGCTTGCATATAGGCACCTTGCTTCAGCGACCCTCAAACGACGACAACCGCTTGCCCACACATGCTCCCAAGGTTGACAGAGAGCCAGATTTGGGACGTGGACACCCTCGGCATCCGGGTGTTTACCTTCCAGGAAAATCCATTGGCAACCGTCAGGAACATCTTGGAGACTGCACTCCTTTTCGTGCCGGATCAAACACGAGGCAAGTGTGCCACGAAAGGAGACGAGTGAGAGTTGAGTGAAGCAATTGGGAGTAACAGCTTGCCGAACCGAGGGGTTAACAGTTAACATTAGTTTACATATTAACTTTGAACATTGCTACTAGTACTGTATATGTAAGTCCTTGAATCGACACTTCAAGCCAGCACTGAATTCGGGGCAAAGGGTCACAGGGATACAGCCACCGGCAGGTGTCGAGTCCTACTTCGCCAAGCGGAACGTAGAGTTCCTCCGGAACTATGTGGGTGCAAGCCTGAAGCCTCGGAAGGATCCGGGAGGTTTACTGCTCAATGCATCAGCGCTTTGGCAGCAGGCCGAGGCAGCCCCAATGTGTCGCATCGAAGCCGTCTGTGGCTTAGACACACGAGTTTGCATACACCTGGTGACGTAGTTGCCGACATGCATGTGCACAACCACATGCACATGCAAGTGAACAGGCACAGTGACACAGATGCATGCATGCATGCTTCTGCATAAGAAACATGATGGGCAAACAAATAAACAGACAAGCAGTAAACACTCAGCCACGATCCGATTTTTTTGTTCGTGAGGTCTAGGTTGTTGGACTGTCCTCGACGACGACTACTACTCTTGCTCTTACTATCCTCCTCCTCCTGGCCCCGTCCACGAGGTCTTGGGTTTGGACGGGGCCCGTAGGTAGGCAGGCAGGCAGTTGCACGCCTGCTGTGTCATGCTTGTATGTAGCTCCATGGTTTACAATACTGACACGTACCCAGCCACTACGACTGACTGTGATGTTCTTGTCCACTGTATCGAGACCGCAGGCCCAGAACTTAATTCTAAACTGTCAAGGCTCCATGCTGTTGCCGGACCTCGCACGGCTGAGTGTTCTGTCCATGCCCATACTTTCAGTCTTTGTCCTTTGGGCACTTTGCTTGATGCTGCCGTGTTGTTACTCCAAAGGGCTGACTGAAACTTAACCAATGGATAAATGGACCCACCTAAACGGAGGACGGTAGGGCCACAATGCAGGCGCAGCTCCAACTAGGCCAGAAACAGAGCCTCACTCCGTACTCTGAGTACCTGCCAGGCCCGTGCCTCAACTTGTACCCCTTGCAGAATGCAGCAGTAACTTAGTATCCCTTACAGTTCCCCTTGCAGAATTTATAGGGTTTAGGGTTTAGAGTAACTTAAGCCCCTTACGGTAGCCCTGAGAGGAGGTGAAGCTCTCAGAGCTGCTCAGGACATCCGCTCTGGGGACTTCCTGGGGGTTCTGCGGCTGGATGGCTTGGATCCGATGCTGGCCTGGGGTAGCCTGGAGTCTTACGGCATCCTTCTGGTAGCCCCTCATGGTGCCCCTTAATGGTACTCTCGTATAGCAACCTTGTCGTCTTACCGTTACGAGCCCTTACGAGAACACACAATAGCAACTCCTGATAGCTAAGTATCCCGGCAACTGTATGCGGCCAAATAAGCAAGCGACCGACCCTCCGACGAATGAGCGATTCATCCGATTTCTAGCTGGCCAACGAAGAAATTTGTCTACCAACTTCGCCAGCCAGTTGACGAATGCTTCAACTAGACTGATTGTCGCAGAAATCCCGTTCCAGTGCCTGACCAAAAAACGATGCTGATGTACACAGACACACTTTAGGGTTTAGGGTTTAGGGTTACCTGAACATACATACACAGGTGCGGGATGGTACAGGGCAGTTCTATGCACAGGGCGGCACGGACCGGGTGATAACGCGCCTCTCTATTGAACTGAGCTTTTCGATTTTCAGCATGTCGGCTCTTCTAAACCGGAGGTCGCTAGCCTTGCATCCAGAAGTTCCCCGGTTTATATTCAATAGCACGGGTGTAGGGAATGAATGTTCTGCTAAAGTTGGACGTTGCCGCCGCTTATGCTCCGGCTGCCGAGGTATGGGCTCGCACACTGGACACACAGCCGTGGCCATCTGGGAGCATGGGCAGCTGTATGTGGCAGAGAGCACCATCAACAGCTCCTACTGGCATTTTGCCAGCAATTGGTTTTGAATTTCAGTATTCGGGTCCAGTTGCAGAAACATTCAACATACCTGCCAAGGCCCACGAATGGTATCCAGCGCACGCCTTACCAACAGTGGATAGAGCAGGCACATTCTCAGACGGGTCTCGACTTTGATCGGCGGCCTTTGAATCCAAGTTGAGTCACTTGCGCATCATGTCGCGGCGAACTTTGGATGCCCATGCTCGCCAAAAAAGTCTCGGCCGTGATGCCAGGCACGTGCAGCAGGTTATTCCACAGTGCACGCGCCTTTGAAGGAGGAGTATCGTCACGGAGCTGCAGACCAATTCTTGCCTGCTCTGAGAAGTCGTGAAGTGGTCCCGGAACGTAGGGTCCTTCTGAAAAAGGCAAGTGGCAAAGTAGACATAGGAAGAACGCACACCTAAGCTTGGCTTGATAGGTGAAGATCAAGAATAGCAAGCATCACCAAAAGGCAACAAGAGCAGGGACGAGTGATCAGATCATAATCTACCGCGTGCGAGAGAGAGAGAGAGAGAGCCATTTTGGCTCAAGCCGCGTTGGTTCAAGGACGTTGGGTGCCGCACCGCCCCCTTTCTTTCCCTTCTCTCCTTGCTCTTCTGGCGCCCCTCTGTCCTCAACCGGGGCGCTTACCCCTTGCCTCCCTGTGCCGCCTTTTCTTCGCCATTGCTGAACGAGGACCTGGGCAAGACTGCGCTCTTCTCCCCCACCGCTTCTCAGGCGACCTAGGTGTGCAACGCAGCACGAGGGTGTCCACTACAGCCTGTTCCTCGGGGAGTATCCCGACAGCGGTCTTTACGTGATCGGCGAGCCTACTCACCTTTTACGAACTCGACCCGATTCCCCCGGGGGAGTACCTCGAACGCGGACTACCGGTACGTAAAGTCCGTGACTCTGACCTGGACAAGGAGGGTGCAATCCACAAACTATGTCTGGTTCCACGGGGTCAGACCCGACGTGCCTGCACTGCAAAAAAGTTGTGTCCTACCATGGTGGACACAACCGTGACGTGAACGACCCCGCTCAAGGTCACCACTGCCACGCCGCCGCCGCTCGCCTCAAGGGGGAGAACCTCGGTGACGCCTGAAACAGTGAGAGGGCCTTCTAGCTGGGGCAAAAACCCCATAAGTATAATTTTGTCTTTTCTTCGCTGCCTCTAGGGGACAAACCTCTAGTCTCTAGTGCTTTCTATGCAGACCTGGACCTGGCATGCATGCTCGCTCCATTCGATCCAGTCAATGTGTTTTTCGCACTCTACTGTCAGTGCTCCGAATAAGGGGGAGACCCCTTCTGTACCATACGGAACTTTTCCAGACGGGCCGCTAGAGCCATCCAAACTTCTAAACCTCGCCATGCCCCCGCCCGGGGTTTTTGGGCCCAGAGCCAATTTAATTTGCCAGGCTTCCTCCCTTGTTTGTGCGGCTTACCTGGGGCTCGCCCTTAAGATTGAGCTTTCAGGTTCCGTTGTCTTCAGGAGGTTCCGTGGGGGTTTTGGATATTGCTCCGCTTTGTTGCATTTCCCCAGGTGGATCCCCTTTCAGCCGCCGTGCTTTCCAGAGTGCCCTGCTCAACAAGCCATTTGTACTTCGATGCTAGGCTTTGTTTTGTAATCAATGAAGTTGAGCCGGGAGAATCCCCTGTCAGCAAGTCCTCAGTACCATCCAGCCACGGCAAAGAGTACGGCACCATAGTTTTCTGTTCGTTTAGCTTACACTGCCCTTCTTGTTTTTCGTCTTCGGCCGTTACTCATAGTTACTTTGATGGAGTGCTGCCTTTGCTCAAGCCCCTCCACAACGGTCGGGGGCGCCGACGGCGCGCGGGCAATAGGGGCAACCCTGCTGCCCATAGCCCTGGCGAAAGAAAGAAAGAGAGAGCGAGAAAACCGACCCCTCATGCCCTGGGGAAGAAGAGAGAGAGGCAGAGCGATAATTTCAGCAGGAGTATGCAAAGCAGCAAGAGTAGCGTCGATACTGCAGTAGAATGCATATTGAATAGTGAGAGCTGTAGTAGTTAGTAGTATTATCAGCAGCAGTACTGATTCTCACGGCCCCTGTGGTTTAAACACTCGCAAGAAAGTCCGTGTGAACTTTGCCGTGCTTTTGTTGGGAATGCTAGTGGTATCAGCATTGGTTCATAGGAGTAGGTATGGCAAGCACAATTGCATCACCAGGCCACCGATATTCAGCGCAGGAAATTGCAGTAACAGTGGTAGTCATACAGTCATCACGAAAGCAGCAACAGCTGCCAAAGATCTCAGGCAGCACCTTTGACGAGAGCGCAGGGCTCAGCAGCAGGACGCTGAGTTGGCGTCCCTTCCAAATAAAGCAGGGGTCATGAGGGCACTTCGTGGGCTCAAGCGACAGTGAAGCTGACAGTTGTAAACGTCTCAACCAGTAAAGGTATCAAAAGGACAAGGACAATGGATTGAAATCAAGGGAGAGAGCACAAACTAGAAGGCCTGCTCGCACATGCTCTGGAACGAAGCACGTCCAGGTTTTGCGTCGGAGGTCTAAGCCCATCTGAGCCTCTGATGGAGGACAGCATTTATGCGAAGCCAGGTATCATCAAGACACACGGCACTGGAAGGGGTATGCATGGAATGGTCCCCCACAGCATTGGGTATCAACAACCGTGCTCCAGTTGAGTGTCCCAGCTGGCTCCAGAGTTTCCATGCAAATTTGATGTGGGTCAGGTGCGGCCAACGCATTCTTCCACAAGTACGAAGGCGCTGACCCTTGAGCAGCAGTGCAAATAGGACGGGGAAAGGGGTGATCATGTCAGATGCATGACTGCCTTGTTGCTGTTGCGGTTCCTTAAGTAGGACTCAAGGATGCGCGAACCACCAGTGCTGTGAAGCCTACATGTAAGTCTTTACCCGAACGCGAAACTCTGCCATCCTGAGTTTCTAGCTCGTGAACCCGGCTCCCTGCACTTTCCTGTGGTCTCATGTCTGCACTCCACTTCGGCAGGTCTGGAGTATGGCTACCACGCAATGCTGACAGGATGGATCGATACCCTCAGGAACAACTATCCGCACTTCGGCCCCATTCTGCCGCATTAGGGGGTGTCTCTAAGGTTTGCATGAGTCTTAGGAATTCAGACCATGTTCAGGGACACTCCCGGTACTGTACCTTGTTCCATCATGTAGAAAGCTTTCTAACATTAGCGGTTTTGTGAACAGATCAGCCGCTTCTGGACCCGTTGGGCAAGCGAGGTGCAAGCCGCCCTATGACACTCCGGAGTATGAGAAGCAGTGCCTCACTTGGGAGTTCATTGAGGCCGGCGCACCAGTTTGTCTTGCTGTTTGTTGCAACGATGACCGCTGCTCTATGGTTCCATCGTGTATCTTGACGCCTTCACCCAATATGTGCAGAGTTTCGGCCTTGGAGCTTTAAGTGATCTCCCAATATAGACAGTAAATTACATTCTACTTAATTCAAGGATGGCAGCTAGTCCGCGAGGCAACGACTAGTTGGAAGGCCAAAGAGCTGAACTCGGAGCCCGATAACTTCCGAACCTCTGGAGCGGAGCTGCCTGCGCTCAAGTTTAGGACTTAGGGTCTGGGCTTTGTACGGAAACGACGCTGACGGGCTCTAGGTCCAGACCAGGCGCCGTTTGTTGAGAGTCTGGGGACCTTCCGCCCAAAAGCAGGTCGCCGTCCCAATCATCACACGGTACATCCCCACGCTCGAGAAGCCCTTCCTGCTCACCTGGATCCTCGTCAGAAGGGGCCGTGTCGCGTGCCTGAGCTTTTTGCATCAAGGGTTGGAGTGGCCTTTCTTCAAGAAGTGCCGGTGCAGTGATTTGAACAGAGACGGTCCGGCATGCTTTGCCACTGCTTCGAAGGGTAGGAATGTTTTCAGTTGAGATGGTGGGCCCCAGTACAACCAGTACGATGCACTTGGCCGATGTGCCTGCGACGCCTGCTCCAAAGCCCCGAAGCCTCAAAGCCAGCCCCTTGACCCTGAACCGCAAGTCCTTTTTGAACACCTTGACCCGCCTGCAGAGCCCCGAGGAATCAGCACGTGACCGGATCTTCCTTCAGCAATCTCTCGGCCACGGCGCTGTACCGTGAAGCCAGGTCCAAGGGGATGGAGCTGCTTGGTCCACTTCTGAATGGATAGGCGCTCTTTCTTTTGCTTTTCTTTCTGCCTATCTTCTGGTTGCAACAGCGGGGGAAAAGGGGGCGGATTCGTTTGAGCTGCGAGGTTGGGAAAGATCCCGGCGGTGCCCGAGCCGGATGGAATCCTCTATCCCTCGGTCTTCAACAATGGGACCCGGGCAGCCTCCATTGCCATGGCCTCTTGGCACAAAGGAAGGGGGACCCTCTCTCAATGAAATGCAAACCTGGGCAGCCTGCCAGGTTTGCGACGTCTTCGTTTGTTCCATGTGGAAAGCTGGAGGAGTTTTCAAGGCGATTGACAACGACTTCAGCACCTCGGTTGTGGGGCCAAGAACACCCAATCTAGGCTTTGCTTGTGCGGCGCTGCCTCCACCTCCTTTCAGGTTGTATCGAGCAAACGAACGTTGAATCGCAGCTGCAAAGCGATCTGAGAGTGCAAGGGATGCTGCTGAAGGCCATTTGGACAGCTAGATCGTAGCTCATGGCCGAAGCACGGGCCAGGCACAGTCAAGCCCGGACTCAGTCGAAACCCAGGATGTCTACGATCTCAACGTCTTAGAGGCCCCATCGGCCCGGAAAGATACCTGCGTGCACGCAGACCCGGAGAACCCGCTCTGCCAGTTGAATCTTGGCTTTTCACAGGTCAATCCTTCGAGAACGTGTGGGTTCCACTTTGCCGGTTAGAAGCTTTCCTTGAAGACTGCGAGGGCCAAAACATACTGTAGTGAGAACAAGCCTTCGACACTCGAATGAAAACCACAGGTGGGGGAACCGATTCAACATGTCTAGAACCTGAGGACTGGCGTCTACGGGCTCGAGCTGCCAAAGTTGGGCACGCGGCCCATGTACAGGCACATGTGCCTGGGCAACCTTGATCCTGGTGTCCTTTAACTGTAGATCCGGATGTTGGCTTTACCATCGTTTCAATGGGCCGGATAGGATTTGTATAGGACATCTGCGATGTCGTTGCGGGAACCTTTCCAAACATAATTCCAAGCCGAGGGCGGCTTCTTTACGGTAAGATAGTAAGACAAGCAGCAGTTTCGGTAGTGAGGTCGTGGTCATGGTATGTCATGGGTACTAGGCGGAGCAAGTCGCAAGAGAAAGCCGCAGACATGTTTTCGCGTCCTTGAACCCCAAACCCTAAACCCTACACCCCTCAGCCTCAACCCCTAAGCCCTAAGCCCCTAAACCCTTTCGCTCCGAAACCCCCCAGCCCGAAGCCCCTAAACCCCTCAACCCCTAAACCATAACACCCTAAGCCGAGGCAAGAAAGCTGCCCCACTGAGCCGCCTCTTTACTTGCGTCCAGACAACTGCTAAAGCTGCCAAGCTCCTTGAAGAGATTCTCTGTGAAAGCTAGGCATGTGCATTTCTAAGCATCCAACTTCTCTTTTGCGGGTGGATCACAGGCCTAAGCCATTTCGTTCGCTACGCGGGAAACAGCGCATGGCCCGAACGGCCTTTTTTGCTGGTCATCATTCGGGCGTGTAAGCTCAAGAAGCTAGCCTCCAGTGGGATATTTTGGGAAATTCGGTCGTGCAGCTGGGTTAGCTTGGGCACCAAACTTAGGAATTAGGATGTACAGCCACGGCGTGATGCGGAAGAGAGCGGGTTTCAAGGAGCAGTTTCAGCCGTTCAATCATGTGATTATGTTCACCTGCGCTTGCCGAGAGGGCCGCAGTGCTTGATTGTCGGCATCACGGTTGGTTGCTGGACAGCAACGGGCTCCGAGGGAAAATGTCTGCATAAGCTGCATAAGTTTGACTTGTCTCCGCTTTGCTCATTCTACGGCTTCTTCATGGGCCGACCCACTCTGCGGCCCGTCCTCTGTGCACGAGCATCATGCGCATCATAGAGAGTGCTTTGAAAGCTGGACCCCAGAGAGCCAGCATCATGAGCATCATCGGATCTCCACTCCGCCAGCATGTTAGCACGGTTTCGCTTCCGAGGCCCCCTAGGCCTGGTCAGGAAGGGCAACCTGAGAGTCTTCCGGCATCTGTGGGTCACAGAAGTTTGGTCTAGCAGCATGCCCCAAATTCTGAATACTGTGAATTGATAAGTGCGAGTGGGCAATAGCGAGCATGTGTCGCTTCGTACCCATACGACATCACACGAGGCCATCTACAGGATCTGAAAAGCCGCACGAAAGGCATAACATATACTAATATGCTATATGGAAACAGTGTGTGTGTGTGTGTAAGTTTTCTTAGGTGCATTTGGTGACAGCATGTACAGGGGTTGCACTAGCAAAAAGCAAGCCATGTAGACATCAGCGCCATGTTGCGGGAAGCTGTAGCTGCTGGGCGCACGTGGCATGCAGACAGGCCAGCTTTCGAGTTGTAGTCAAGAGTGCACTCCTGGATTTGAGCAGTGGCAGGCTTGCGCTGCTTTGCTCCGTGGCTTTGACCGCTGCCTGGTGCCAGGACAGTCGCCAAGAGCAATTTCGGAACCTCAAAGAAAGCACCCAGCCACGAGCATTGAGCTGCCAGGATTCGATCATCGAACTGGTGAGGCCGAGCGGCCTTTGATGTTGACTCTAGCAGCTCTAGCAGCTAGCTGCGACAACAAACCCTCGGCGTGTTCGGGCACCCGCGATAAGCAACCCAATACCCAATATCGAGAAAATGATCAAATGCCAATGCTTCCAGGGTGCCCTAAACTACCAAACAGGAAAGAAAGCCCTGATGAAGGCGGCTCCTGGCCTCAGATGCCCGCGTAAAACGCGCGGAGGCTCTCCGGTCAGGGCGGCGACTGAAGGCCGTGATGGGTGGCCGGGTCGGGATCTGACCCTGCTCTTTGATTGCAAGGGCCACGGAAGTGGGTAGACGCAAGGTCCTTGGGGGCAATGGCTCAATTGTGCTTAGGTTGTGCTGGAAAAAAGATAGAGCTCTGATCAGTCTTGCATAGCGACATGAGAAACATCAAGTTTCCAAAAGCCATGGAAGGCAGTTCAAACGCTTCTGGACCACTCCAGCCTGTGCGTTGAGATGTGTAATATCGGTCAGAGCAGGTCGCCATTCTGGGTGCCGGCATGGGCGGCAGCGCATCTCTTCAGCAAGCAATGTTACAGCAATGAAGGGTATCAGGTTTCGATACCGGTGGGTTTCTTCGGAGTCTCCGATCCCGCACGCATTGCTGATTTGTTTGGGTTGAGCAGCATCGTCTAGTGAAGATGTGCCATAGCTGGGATTGAGCTGGCACCGAGGCCTTAGCATTGTGGCTGCGCTTCTTGGCCGAAGTGACAAAGGTTCAGTTGATTTGATGGCAAAGCGGAGCATGTCCTTTGCTTGAAGGTTTTGAATTCTTTTTCAACAGGAGCGACAAGTGCCAAGTGCGGAGTGCTTGATTCAGCTCACTGACTTTGCGTTTGCGATCGTTTGCGTTTGTCATCGGAAACCTTGTCGGTTGTGCGGGCCGGGCATGGGTGACTGGCTTGCGCCTTCCAAGCCTGTTTGAACAGCAGAATTGTATGAGTTGATGCGCCTTGGCGAGTATGAGTGCCCTGCCCACCTATCGATACGCCTCCTTTTTTCCTGCGCCTCATTCTCGCAACCTGCTGACTGTTGCTGTGCAGTGTTCTTTAACCTACCCTCAGGCCCCAATGTCTCCATCTCTTGCTCAGGCGACTTGCTCGGGGACCAGGCTCCACGGGTTCTCTTTGGATTACATAAGCCCTGGTTGTGTTGCTTAAAAACAGAAATAGGTTAAGTGACAGTCACACCGGCAAAAACAGTCTGGAGCCGGGCATCAGCTGCAGGTCGACATTGCCTTGTTCACAAACGGTTCCATTGGGGGCCGTTGCCAGGCGGGCAGTGAGCACATAGTCTCCCCTGGTCGAGACTTGACAATGTTTACCTCTGACGTTGGTGGAAACCGAAGCCGCAGTCGTCCAACTTCAGAGTCCACTGACCGCTTGATGCTTTAGAACCGCTGGGGTATGTACAGATATGTACGTATATATATATATACATCTTGTTTCCCACACTGCTGATGACGTTGGGACTCGTCGTTCTTGTCGTGCTTTCGTCCGTGGCATGGATGTGTTCATAGTGACGCTGACTGATATAGGCCCCGATGGCATTTACAACAACAACATGCAAATCCCTCGCAGGACCCTGTCAACTGTGGCAGTTGGTATCTGGTATCATGAGTCGGTAGTTCGGTAGGTAGGCGGACAGGCAGGGATGTACGTCCACGCGAGGCCTTGGAGCTGGATGGCCAACGCTACGAGGCACATGCTGAGGGCCGCCCACACCTGCCCCCGGAGACTTGTGGCCACAGCACAAACGGTCTCAAGAAGTACAAGTACTACGGGAACACTGTGTCAAAGTTGCCAGTAGGGTCTCAATCCGATACGGTCGTAGACACCTAGAGCTTCAGTGGTCCGCTCCCAAAGTTCATCCACTCAAGGCCGGCGCCTCCATCATCTCCGAGGTGAATGTTCTTTTCAAGGCTAGTTCCGAAGCTTGGGCTTCGCACGACAAGCCGCAAGCTTCGATGCTGCTGTTGTTGTAGGCATCTTTAGAATTTGTAGGTGACAGCAAGCTGTACTTGCAACACGTAGTTATGCACCAGTGCAATCGGAGCCCGTTCCCTGCTTGCAACTTTGGTCAGAGGCCTTGATGGGGCGATTTGCGTTGAAGAAGCGCGAGCTGCGACGGCCCCTGACACTGCTATGTCAAAGCAGCTGCTGCGAAGAAATTCAATGTTAATCGCAGATCCCAAGGTCCAAGTGCAACATGCCCCTGGCAGTGTTCAACGGCACTCGCTTCCTCTTCAGCACAGCCAGTACAGTAGCCTTGTCTGCAGCTTGCAGTTCTTACCCTGAGGAACCTACGCTTTCAGGGATGGGTACATGATGGTACATGTGTGGGATTGCGTGACGCTGCTGCCTTGAACGTTCTAATAAGGCTGCGACCAACGGCTGGAAGTTCGCCACGAAGCTCTTGAACCTTTGGTGCCTTGTTTGGACAAGTGCTTTCTCTTCTCAGAAGCCGTGGACAGAATGATGGGATTGCCTTGCACATCAGAAAGACAGGCAAAAACACATTGCAAAGAGCCCCCCCAAGCCGGATGCAGCCGAAGCCCCAGCCCAGGAAGCTGAGTTCGCGCTTCGGGTTTCTGTCCCTAATGCGGCTGAACCGGCTTGCCAAGCGCTCGTGTGCACCGCCGCTTGCTTGATTGGCTCGGGTTGGACATTGGTGCCCGTTGGCAAAACACACGAGAAATCAACATTCGGAAAGGAGTTTGCCGTATATCAGAGCCCTTGCGGCTCAATTCCTTATATGCAGCCAAAGTAGCGCCGGGTCCGAAGCCTCACCCGACTCAGAGATCCACTGAAACTGACTCCTGGAGCTAAATCCACCCAAAGCACTTCGATCTCTAAGAGCAAAACTAAGCCCAGCTATCCCTAACCCCAAAACGCCACAGCTAGGAACTTCACCCGCCTCTACCGAGCCTTGCGTGACGGCTCCCCGGCTATCAGATGTCGTCCGGACATTTTTGGTGTGTGGGTCAGGAGCTTCGGTGCAGTTTTTTCGGCATCCCGGAAAAGGTTCAAGGCTTCCTGGTTAAGCTGCACTTTTTTTTGGCCATGCTCCTGTAGCAAGCGCTCGCTTTGCCGGTGCACTGCATGTGGAGAGCACCGCAGGTGCTGCCTATGCCCACCCACGCGAGCTTCTTAGCACGCTAGGCGGGGTTCGCGCCAAGCACTTCATGGTGCGCTTTGCTTGCCTGACAGGTGCTGCAGCACGTCACAGTCGAGTTCGTTTTGTCACATGCTTAGCTCAGCCGCGGCCGCCCTGGCCAGGACACAGCAGCCTTCACCTCACGCAAAGACACGCAGACAAATGGCTCGTGCGCGAGGCGAGGCTACCATTTGTTTGCCCAGAGTTTGTGTCACGTGTTGGCTATGCTGCATCTGCAACACACTGACGCACTCCGTCGAAAAGTATCTCCTGACAGATGAGCATTCCCGGGCCGATCGTGCAGGACAAGGGAGGGGCAGGAAAGGATAAGCCAGCCTCATGTCTACGGTCGAACCGCCGACCAGAACAACCACGGCTTCCAAGGAAGCAGGTTCTAGACTCTAGACTCGCAATGCTTCGAGGAGCTTGCTGAACCTGGTATGCGTGCCAACTACGGAGGCCCCATTCTCGCAGTCTGTAGCACCGTTTGAGGAAGTCGAGGCTGCAACTTGCAGCCATGGCCAACGAGGACGTTTCAGTTTTATGCCGGGCCCGGAGCACTCCCTATCCCGAAAATCCTTGAGGTCAGGGCTGCAACGCACTTCACGAAGCTTGGCTTTGCAACCAAAGTAGACGCTGCACTTTTCTAAAGAAGATTTCCTAGTCGCTACGCGTTTGGCATTTGTTCACCTCCTCTTTGCTTGACAGAGCTGGCCCAAAATCTCCTCAGCTACGGCTAAGGCCTTCGTTGGGTTGGTGAGCATCATCGGTGGGATCAGCAGCAAGTGCTTTGCTGTGCTCGGGGGCAATTACCAGGTCCGGGCCCGAGCTCGGCCGTCCTTGGGTCATAAAGCTGGGCTTCAAACAAAATGGGTCGTAACGAGCCCACCACCCGGCAACGAAAGGAGAACGGACACGACCTCTGATGCTGGCTCTAAGACATTTGTGTCGTCCATGCTGAGGTAGCAGAGCGGTCGGTGGAGGCTTCGGAGCCACGCGTGCTGCGTGCCTCTGCAAGGCTTATCCGGAAGGCTCCCGAAGCCGGTTTCGACATGAGTCGGCAGAGTTGGGCAGGGCGAGAGTGACACCAGTAGAAGTTGTGTAAGGTTGCTTCCCCAGTCCGGTGTAGCAGTCGTGCAGCCGTTGCACTAGCCTGTGCCAAGCCACAGTCATACTCCGGCTGTGACCAGGATCGGCACGTGGACACCTCTGCACTGTGCCCACGAACGGGGTTGAAAGCAGATGTGGTGCTCAGTCAGTGCGGATCGTTGATAAAAGCCAGGCTGTCACTACAAGGTGTACATTAATGGGGCACTATGTGCTTGTGCGCAGCCGAACAGTGATTACAAACATGTTCAACCACTGCTCAAAGTAGTGTAAACACGACATGATGCCTGGATTGTTGCAGTGTTTGCGCTTAATATGGACAGGGTTTAGGGCTTACGGTCATTGAGCTAATCGATTGCTAAGGTCATTGGGGTAATTTGATGTAATTTGGTTTAGGGTTATGCGATAATTCAGCCCAAACCTCTCAAGACAGCAGAAATCCAAGGACTAAGCCCCAAACCCTAATCAGCTCTTTGTATCTTTCAGTCCACGAATGCAACTGCGTCCCAGCAAAGGTTGTTATTGCTTGTTCTGCACTTCTCAATTATGCAGTAGCCAAAAAAGGGAGGCTTGTGCTAGTCACTAGCCCGACTCCCCACCTGCAGCCCACATCTGTGTACACTTGCTGGTTCTTGTTGGCTGTTTCTGTGATCAGGTCGCTGAAGGGTCCGGTTTTTGGACAGGTTTGGCCAAGCTTCGTCTTTTGGAAGGTTTGGCAAGGCTTTGGTGTTTTAGATGGTCCCCTGGTCCGTGGTCCCTTGGTTCCGGGTGCTCCCTTGTCCTCGTCGCGGATTCCTGGCTCTTCATACACGTGCCGGATCCTGGTTCTCCTTGGTCGCTCTTGGCTGCGGCCCTCTCTGGTCTTTCGTCCCTTCGCCGGAAGCTCCCGCAGCAGAGGGGAGCCGCTTCGGTCCGACCAACCCCAGCCGCCTCAGAAGAAGCGAACAATTAGGTACACAAACCGCATGAACACCATGTTTGCGCTCGATGTTGTGCTCGGCCCGCTTCTGGCTGAGGAGCCGAATGGGATGCGAGACTCGGTCGCTCTGGCGAACGAATGGTCCCTGCACTAAAAGACGTCGGCGGTTAGACATCTCCCAAAATTTCGACTAGAGCTGGAACATCTCAAAGTGACAATAACACGCAATGACATTGGCTTGCTTGGGTCGCTCGCTGTGCAGAACCTGAGTCTGTCGACGAGCCTGCCGTTGCATTTGGACAGGGTGCACGCATTGTTGTTTTTCATCCAATCCATGGAGCTTACAATCAGAGCGCAAGGCATGCATGCCGTGAAGCAACGAAAACAGGTGGCCTTGCAACTGATGAGCAACACTCGCTGCTTAACGCATCCTCGGCGCGTGCAGCACTTAGCGTGTTGTTGATGACGTAAGCCATGTGGAAAAAACCCGCCCGCGAAGCTGCAAGAGAATATCCGTGTGAGGAACCGCGTCAAAACAGTGCGGGCCGGCAAAGACACTGCCGGTGACTGTGCTGAATACAACACTGGCCACGACATTGTCGATGCCATGGAAGCTGCAGGCATTACATACTCTCTGCGACGCTTTTTCTCGAGTCTCAAGCTACGCACAGAACCGGTCCTGCTGGCAGGACCGAGCGTCCGTCCTGTCTACGCCTATGCTGACTGGGCCCAGTGCATGGAACATGCGCAGCAGTCGGTGATTCCTGAGTCCGTTCGGGTGGGAGACTTTGAGCATATGTGGCTTAACATCAAGAATCGTCAGTGTCCTGTCTGTCGAAGGAGAACTGAACAGTCGCAGCAACTCAAATCGGCGTTGTTCATCAGCCGCAGTGACTGCACAACGCTCCCCGAATTTCATAATTGCCGGCCCCTTCTATTTCGCACGCTTGAGGCCAGAAGTGCGTGGGGATGCTGGGGGCAACCGCAACGGCTTCCCACCCACGCGCTCTTTCCAACTTTTACATGAAGTCGCCTGCCAGCATTGCAGATTGACCGACCCCATTTTGAAGGGCGACGGCTAAGTCCTATGTGCCGGTTAACCGGGCAGCGCCAACGGCATGAGAACAGAGGGCGTCCGTGGAGTCCAGGGATGCGACGGGTTCTCAGCGCAAGGGTGCCGGTACCGTGCACCGGCGCTACTCGGGACAACAGTGGAGCACAGTTGGCGTCTGACTCCGAACCTGATGAGGAGACTGAAGTTGCCGTGTTGGATGTGTCGGATGTCGAATATGGTGGTTCCGGCGCAGATTCGGTGCTAGGCTGGGTTGCCTGACCTTGGGAAACGAAAGAAGTTGGATATCGTTGGATCATGTTGGATCATGTTGGCTCTTGAGTCTTCAGTCCGGTGCATTGCGCAAAGCAATGTGGAGCCACTCCGCCGATCGCTGGGATCTTGATAGAAGATGGTTTGAAAGAACCACGTTGTATCTGCTCCGTGGGGAGGCTTGTGGTGCTTGGATAGAGCCGGTGAGGATCGGCATGTTGCGCCCGTACTTGTTTTGGCTTGCTCCAAAGGGAGGATTACCCCGGCCAACCTGCCGTCCATCAGTCTCCTACAATCCCTTCACAGTCAAGCCATGGAAACATGCGCTGTCAAAAGATGCTACCTGTATGTTGAAAACAGCCGGCAGCAAAGCGCAGGCGCTGAAAAACACAGCCGGGGTCTTCCACGAGGAGTAGGGTCTTGAGTTGGTGCATTGGCGATCCGTATGCAAAACTTGCTTAAGACAAGAAGGCCGGGACGGCGATACTGTGCATGCTGCAATTCGGTCGGTTAGGGTTCTTCTGCGTCCTTGAGCTAAAACATAGCACCCTCGCATGGCGGAGCCGAAACCTTGAAGATTCGTTGTTCGATGAGTTTGAGCACTTGCAAACCGTGCGTGTCATGCTCTGCCAGGTACGAACCGGCCTTTGAAGTTGGTTACTATGCCCCGCCGGCCTGTTATGGGCCCGCGTATCCCAAAGCAAGTTCGAAGCAAAATTAAAGGCAGAGATCGGGCGTGCAAATTGGGGTTCCTTCTACATGTTCCGCGTTTCGGCAACGGTTCAATTGCATAGCCTTGCACATGGACGCACCTCCTTTCCGACCGGCATTGCCATCAGTGCTGGCTGCTGCTAGTCTAATCATTGTAAACACCCCCCTTTGCCGCTATGTTCGTACACTTCAAAAACCAAAACTGTAAGCTTGAGATCTGCGCAGGCATTGCCAGAGCCGGGATGCAATGCCGGCTAGTGACTCACAGGGATCGAAAGTCTCAAGACCATCAGACGTTTGCTTGTTTTCTGCGTGTCGACCTTTGCTTTGTGCATGTAATTATGGTCCTGATGGTAGGCATAATCATCACGCTTGTCGTCCTGACCATAAGTACTACGACACTGGTCGCTTATTATTCTGGCTGCATGGGTTTTGTCACGCTCGTCAAGAACAGGAGCTTGTGTGATGTTTGCAACCGTTTGCAGTGCAGGGAGCAAGGGCCTTATTGAGTGAATCGTTCAGCGCAGCTTTCAAGCGCCTGTCATTCGCAGTGTGTGGTGTTTCACTTCGAAGGGCAGTTTGAACATGACCAAGATCATCATCATGATAGCTGAGGCCCCTCTGGCTGGCCTTTGGCTTCGACACGGGGGCCGAAAGAGCCTGAGACAGAGGGCCTCCGCGTGGAGGCGACCAGGGCAGCAAGAAAGGGTTCAAAATCATACAAGTATCAAGCAGCAGTATTCAGCGTCGTGTTGCCACGACTACCGTCATCATTGTGCCGTTACTGTTGTTATTGCCGTGGTTATTTCAGTTGTTGTCGCCGGCGTGATTGAGCATCAGGTATACTCTCGGCACGAGGGTTGTAGGGTTGGGGGAGTGCAGGCTTCCTGAATATGATATTGTCGTACCTCAGCTGCCTGCTCGAGGTTCGGTGCAGGTCGTACGAAGCGATCAAGACTCGTGTATGGCATTGAAAATCGAACGGGCTGTAGCGGTAAACCGTGTTAGATACTGCTACATGTTCGTAGATGTGCATATAGCGCGCTTGTATACGAGTTGAGACCAAAATACTGTCTTTTCCGAGATGCCATATCATTATGATTGTGACTGTATAGCTTCTTACACTACTACAGGTACGACTGCGGATGGCGATAAACTACGTGCTACATGTTGATGCCGTTTATACATAGCACTCCATTGGGTTGTATGGTGTTATTGCACATCGTATTCTTTACACTGGCAGCTGCTGGAGGCCTTCCACATCGTTGTGGTCGCTCACCCGCTAGAGCACTCCAACCTTTGCTTCGAGGCTGGCAGCATACGAATCCGACCCGTCAACCTGTGCAACTTTGAATTGAAAGAGGACAAAGATGACAACCAATTGCGTAAAGACCGCTTACAAGACTCAATTACATACCGGGCTCCGGTCCAAGTTCAATGACGCATTGCTTGGACCCGAAGCCGTGACACAGCGTGGGCTTCTGAGTAGACTCCACTGACTGAGCCCGAGTTTCTGCAATTGTTCTGTCCATGAAGACGTTGAATGACGGTGACAGATTCCTGTACTGTCTCTGGTTGCACTCGGGTCATCTCGCTGAAAGGGCTGCAGTCAGTAAACGCCGAGTTCCTCTTGCTAGTCGCCGGTGGCCGATGTTCAATTAGCAGTGTTGCATCTGTGTCCGCGACAGTCATAACTTCCGAAAGAATCCGGTCATGTTCAGAATGCTGATTCCCCGGCTGCCGGAAGCACCTCGAAAAGAACCAAGCAGCCTGCGCGCAGGGTTGCTGCGAAACCATGCAGGCGGAGTCTGCGGATGTTGGTTGCTTCATTGAAGCAGATCTAGAGCTGTGAACCCAATGAACATGGTAGGGCTACAGGCTGCAGAGTTGGGCCGCCGTGACTCTAAGAACTGACCGCAGAACTCGCCCCATGTGAGGCAAGGCCGACGCCGCAGTTTAGGCGAGGCTCTGTCTGAGGGTTGAAAGAGGCACTCGTAGCATAGAATCCTGGGACCGAAAGAAGCCAAATTGCCACATGATTGCACATGAAGGCATTGGTTACTTAAGAGTAAGACTCATGGTTTAATGTGCTTGCATGGAAGGATTGATTTTGCACTGACACTGTTCGATGGAGCTTTGCGCACGCTTGCCTTCCAGACATTCTCTGCATGCAGCGGCGAGATCCTTGAAAACCCCTACTCCCACATATTCGGATCTACGGTCTTCCAGAATACAAAGCCCAGATCTCTGACTCAAACAGTGCGCCATTGAAGCAGGCGCTGCACTGCGCACTTTCTCCGTGGCACGCTCAACCTGCGCTACTTCGCGGAGGCGAATTCGGAATTCTGCACTTGGTAAGAGCGGCGCCATGCACCCAACAGCCAGCATCAACGGCAAGTCATCGCGGGCAGCATCATTATGACAATCATTACCACACTATGAGATCCTTGCACGCTTCACATCCCAAAGCGCCAGGCAACCTTTCGCCAAGCCACGCCGACGGAGCTGAGAGCAGCAGCTGGGGCTTACGAGGTCGAGCCAAATTTTTGGGTCCAACTCGACTGTAGCGCATGCCGCGATCAGCATAGAAGGGCCTGCATGTATCCTGAAAATAGGTATTGCATCACATTGTGACGAAGTTATGCACTGGCCACCTGCGCAGTTGCAGGCGATCTTCCGGCTTTCGGTATCACTGCCCGTCATTCTGTATCATATGCAAGCAAGCATTTGCTGTTTGACTGACCATATGAACCATATTCCGGCATGACATTTCGGTTACCTTGCAGCCCTCAAATCCTCGCCAACCAACCGTTACCGAGTCTTTGTCATGTCGCAATCTACATGACTTCGTGGTGTCTACCTTGATCCGTATGCACCCATTCCCACTTGTGCGCTCCAAATGCTGTTCCAGTTTCAAAGTCTATCCCGTTGTCATGACTACCTGCTCAACCCGGTGTGTGTGTGTGTGTGCGTGCGTGTGGATCCGGTGAGATGTTGAAGCCTGGTTGACACCTGACTGTGTGAGCAAACGTGTGACCAGGCTGACCCTCAGGCCTCCATGCCGCTGTTTGCCACGACCTTACAACGAGTTGAGTGCCCTTCTTAGTTTGCTTGTTGGGAGCTATAGCTGCTGCGACGATGAGGGCTTCTGTTACTGGTGAAATATTCCTGCAAACCAATTACCAACTACAGACTCCCGCCTCCTACTACTTGCTGTTCCTGCCTTGTGCTGCTGTTGCTTCCGCTGCCGCCATTGCTGCAGATGCTTCTGCTGCCGCTACTGCGGCAGCTGCTAGGAACGCGCAGCAACCGAGAGCTGACATTTCTTGAAGGCCACAAGTATGTGTTCCAAGCATGGAGTACGAACGTCGGTGACCAACGCTGCAGTAGCAACGGTTTGGTACAAGCGTAATTATTTGTTTCACGCCCGGACGGCCAGGAAGGAATCAAGGCTCGGTCTCTGGCACAAAAAGGGCACTCCCGCCAGCCTCGGGCTCCCCCTGCCAGATCTCCTCAGCTGGCGGCGGAAGTCGTGGCTCTCTACGCAGACATGTGCCTCGCAAAATGCTGCAACTTGCTTGGGGATGGCGGCTGGCATCGGTGCTTGAACCATTTGGCCATTTGCATGGCAGAGCGGCGAGCAACAAAGGGGCACGAGGGCGCAAGCTCTTGTGCAAATGCAAGCGAAGCCGGGCCCCTATGACGGCTGGGCCCATTGCGAGCAGTACAAGGATGAGCTCATCGAAACGGTCACAGCTCTTACGAGTCCAACGGCAGCTGCGGCTTGCGTTTGGAGCCTGTCGGCATTGAGAAGACAGAACCAAACCGACAGAAGTGGCGGCAGCTTTTGCTTGGCACGAAGGGCCATCCTCTGGAAGCTCTGCACTAGAAAACGACAGATGGAGAGCTCATCGTCGAGCTGGCCAAGGAGAACGCGATCATACCTGGTATCAAGGTTGACACCGGCCTCGTCGTTCTCGTGGGTGGCAAGGGTGGAGGGAAGTGGTGCCGAGGGCCGGATGACCGGAAGGAGCGGACTGAGGACTACTACAAAGCAGGTGCCAGGTTCGCAAAGTGGCGCACGACAGTGCGCGTCAGGGACCACTCAAGGCTTGCCGTCGTGGAGGCCTGCCCATGGCTTGGCCCGGTATGCGAACATCTGCCAGTCGTCAAATTGGTTCCGATCATTGAGCCGAGATCTTGCTGGATTGCGAGCACAGGGTCGAGGAGTGCAAGGAGACCTTCGAAGAAAACTGGAGTGAGGTTTTCAAGGCCTGTGCCAATTATGCGTCCAGCTGGAAGCTGTGCTCTTGAAGTCGTCGGTGATCACACCTGGAGCACAGTGCGGTGAGAGTGGGGACCCTGCGACTGTTGCATCGCAGACCTTGGAATCTTTGAATCTTGTGGTGCCTCCAGCCGTGCCAGGCATCATGTTCTTGTCCGGTGGCCAGTCCGAGATTGAAGCGACATTGAACCTCAACGCCATGAACCAACGAACCAATCCTTGGAATGTCTCGTTCTCCTATGCCTGCGCACTACAGAACACCACCCTCAAAACCTACCCCGTGGCAGCGCAAGCGAAGCTGCTCATCCGAGCCATGGCGAAAGCTCAGCTGGGAGAATACGACCCTGCCACAGCTGATGAGGATGCGACTGCAGCAGACGGCATGTACGTGAAGGACGATGCGTACTGAGGGGCCAAGTCCCGGAAATTTGCAGCACCGACTGGGGCGGGAGGGACACTCAACACTTGTCCCGATCCTTCCCGGGGAGGTGTTGCAGTGAGGGCCCCAAACGGCGCTGATTCGATGTGCTGGAAAGCACTCCGAGGATTCTGTGGTGTTCCTTGGAGTGGTGAAAAGTGCCCGGGCAAGGGCATCTGGAGTTTGACGAGGTGAGCACTTGTGCACTCTACCGGTGAACTACCCATCATGAAGTGAAGATGATGATGGTGGTGATGATGCTGAGCACGATGAAGATGACGCGGACTTGGATGTGGCGCAGATGCAGATACCTTATTGAAAGTATTCGCACCTGCTCTGTCTTCTGCAGAGAGGGGTCCGCAACCTCTTCCTTGCTGCCTCTCGTTCGTCCTTACCGCACCCCTGCTGTAACAGCTTTGTCGCCCAGGCTCCAGCGCAGATACTGACGACGGCCGATGCTACAACCCCGTTCTACTCCATAGGCGGGCTGAAAGCCGGAAAGCCTCGCAGTGCTCTTTTTAAAGCCTGCGGAATTCCGTGTCTCCGTGTATTTTGCTTCGAAATTTTTGCAGAGGCTTGCAGCTGCCCGTGGACACAGCCTCACCGGCCCAGGCGGCCGAGGCCGGAAGTGAATTTGGAACTCAGTAGTTTATAGATTTTGGCTGTTTTTTCGAGCGCTTTCTTGGTCAAGTGTTTTGATGCGCCGAAGCATGCTACGCAGGATGAGTTTGGTTCACGGATCTCGAAGGGTTGGCGGCGATGCTAGCCGTAAGAGAGAGCTCCTGCTTGTTGACTTCCCCGCCATGAGCAGACCTGAAACACTTGCTTAGGCAAGGGGAAAGCACCCCAACTCCAACCATCCGAGTGTCTTGAGGGCTCCAGAAACACTCTTGAGGCAACCGACAAAAGCGTAGGACAACTCCTCAACTCCTTAGTCTCATGCCCCAACTTTGGAAGCCGAAAGTGCTTCACCCCAGAGCCTCACTGCAGATCGTTGCCAGCGCCGAAAAGGGAGAGCCGCAGGCAAGCAAGATTCGGGAAAGTTTGGCGACACAAGTCAAGAATTGTGGTTTGGGGTCCGTTGAGACTTTAGGTTTAAGCTTTGGATTCGATAGTGGGCGATATGTTCTCGGGCTTCTGCCAACGGCCATAGGTTTGCTAGTGGTTGCTGGTCAGTCGAAAGTGCCAGCGTTTGCCTTCACAAGCTTTTGCTGCCGGTGGCTGGTGTTCATCATGGCCTTCCAAGCGGCATCCAGGTGATGTAGACAGCTCCAAGGTTGAATATGAAGGTTCCTTTGCTTGTCACTTGTCCTTGTCCATCCATCTTTCCGTGAGATAAGCAATTCCTGATCCCAGAGCCCAGAGCCCGCAACCGTTTCATGACTGGTCTGGAAAACCTGAAGCCCTATAAAAGATGAACTGCAACTCTAAAGCTTCACGCCCTGAAGCTTAGGCTAAGGTTTGTCCAAACTGAAGGTGTACAAAGTCTTTGCCCCTCAGCCGCTTCCTGAAGAAGAGCTGGACAAATGGCCGCCCGGACACATCTCGAGCCTTCGGGTTGGGTGAGAGCCGTCGGAGCGCAAGGAGATATTCGGAGGACACTTTAGCTTCTGGCTGAGTCCTGGAAAGACATTTTTCGACAGCCTCAAGCGGAAAGATGTGGTGAGCTTGTGCTCTTTTCTGCTATACGGCTATACGAGCATGCTAGCATACGAATGGGCCCTGGGCATCACATCTGGATCCTTGGTCGCTTACGGCCGAACACGTGGCATGCTGGAACGGGATACTATCCTCAGCTTCCACGCAGAGCGTAAGCGAATCCTGACATGGAGCAAACCTCGTAGCGGCAATGATCACGGTAGGGGTTCAGGCTGCACACCTAAACCCCAAACCCTAAACCCAGGGTACTTGCGATATCATAACTACCTGATTTGCCGGAAAAGTGATGTGAACCCCAAGTGTTCATGCAACTCTGCCTTGATCGCACGCTAAGGTTTAATCGCTGCCGATCCTCTCCGCTTCATGTGGTGGACTGGTGAGGAGCTGAGAACTCTCTCCCGGGACGAGGCTAGTGAACAACACACAAGCTGTTGTTTCTGGAGTTCTGGTCTTCAAATCGCTCAAGTCCTTCCAAACCCTCCGATCGCACCTGACACGAGCTGCACATCAACCGAGGTACGCCTATCCGCAGTACACAATCCCACAGGGCTTTCGGCCGTTCGTGCTCGACCAGGATGGGGTGTGATCCCCGGTGATGTCTCCCAAAATCAATCATACCGCTAGAGGAGTTCTCACGAGAGAGTCGGCTTGATTTTGTGTTGCAGATACACCTGCATCGTTCTCCAAGGTTTTGAGCGGTACGTCCGTCACACCTTCTAACAATACATGCACATGCAGATTATGTAGAAAAATATCTAGAGGCATGGTTTCCGCACTGCGTTCTGCTAAGGTCTTCTACATCAATGCCATCGAGCAGGCTCCCTGTTCTGCGGGGTGCATTGGCGATTGCACTAATTATCCATCTGCCGCTGCAAAAACACAACGTACGATCGAATCCTGCATTCCAAATTCTACAAGTCGAAATCGCCCAGACACCGTGAACGCAAAGACCGTGGCTTTCAGGGTGAGAGGTGCATCTGAGTAACTAGACCAGCTTCAGCTCACTACTAGACACGCAACATTCAGACCTCCTGGCAGCAGTGTAGAAGGGCATCCATGCAGCTCATGTGTGGGCAAAGGAATTACGTGGGCCTCAGAAGATTCTATCGCGTGCAGGTGGCATCTGCAATGGAGATGTCTGCATCCCAGGCACTAGGTTCTTGGTCGATTGGGCCAGACCCGTGCTGCCGTCCAGTCCTGCCCAAAGACCACACATTGGACATACGCTGCACACCGACAGTGGGCTGAGGCAAGGAGTAGACAAGTAGCTACTTCAGCAGTTCTACCACGCATGTACGTAGACAGATGGCAGTTGAGGTCCCTCATCGGCGCGCGGAACGTAACAAACCTTGTTGCTGATTGGGCCTCCAGCTCAGCTTTGCCACGCGAGACCTCCGAGCTTTGGTACAAGTACGTAGCCGTTTCGGATTGGGAAGGCAAGGACAGACCACTGAGTTGGATCCGGCATGGTATCAGGAGTGTACGGCAGAGCGTCGTGCCATGGCGAGGTAGCTCAGCGAAGAGGACCTCGAGGCTTCTGAGCTTCGTGAGACCTGTCCGGCCGTGCATTGACAGAAACATCCAACATCCCAAGATGTTGCTGACCCTAATTGTATCACGAGTTGTGGCAGACATGTAAAGCCATCCAGCTAAAGGCTCTGTCAAAGCTTGGCATGGGCAGATGGCTCTCCGCTTTGAGCTGTTTTTCACTGCTTATTGGCTTATTGGGACCGGTCAGTGTAAGGGCTAGTTGGGCTATGTTATACTTCAGGGCTTGGGTTAAGGTTACTGGCATCGCTTGTGAGCTCCAACAAGCTACCTGTAGAACCTTCCGACCGTCGAAAGAAGTCGCATTGCAACATGTTCTGTAAGAACAGATGGACAGCTGCCCGGACTCCCGACTACTTTAGCTGGGTGGATGTAGTCGCGAATGAGAGACTTGCATGCGCGTGTGAGGCTGGATGAAATCGTCCACATGGATGCAGGTAAAGATGAATGGCTCAGCCTGTGCTGATTGCCATAGAATCTTTTTCTGCACTATCGTTTGTCGTGCATGCTCACTGCATCAGCACGACGAAAAAGAGCACAGTCAGTCGTACAAGAAGCAGATCGTGGATTGCAGTGTCTAGCTGCCAATTTAGGTCGAATGGCTTCTGGTGGGCATGTTGACTCGAGCGTTCTGCCCAGATGGATGCAAGCAAGACCTAAACAGATTAGAGAAAGCGGTCCTCCATCCTCGTATCCATGCGAGATCCATACACCTGACACCTGCAAGACAGATGACATGCATCTTCAGCAGTTCAGCAGCAAGCAAAGAGAAAACTTAATGAGGGACTACTGTTTTTGAATCACAATCGGTGGCACAATGCCTGCGACAGAGGAGGCAGTGCCGCTTTAGCGCACGCCTTCCGCCCTTCAGAGTAGGTGAAAAACTTCGTGCAAGTGAATCTCATGTTCCCCTTGCTTCAGACCTTACAGGGACGAGGCTTCACATCGCCGTTCCTCATCCCGAAAAATCAAGGTCTCGAGTCATGCGAGTCTTTCCCCCCCAATCATTCGCTCCGGGCCCCATAGCATCATGTCAGGTCATCCTGCGGGAAGGCAACTCTTAGCAGTTTTGGGCAGGGCTGAGATGGATTGTTTGGAACACCCGGCCCCCGGATATAGTGTAGACATGGACAGGAATGCCTCAAGATCCATGGGCTCCTATAGGGCCTTAGGGTCATCCAGAAAGCTCTGTTCTTCGAAGGCTTCCTCGGAGAGACGCAGCGGGCCCGGCCCGGCTTCACGTGGATCGCTTGTTAGGTATCGCGTTCTTTTTCCGGTGGTTCGAGTCGGTTCGAGATGCGCGCAGGACTTCTAATAATTGCAATCTGTGATGCTCCATGCAGCATGTGTAGCCTAATACCGTGAAGTTTTTTGCGTGATGTGATGACTCCTGCCAGACACGAGTAGCACCCGGACGTGCTACAGAAGCGTGGTCATGCAATTCTGGCATTGTGCATCATCAGATACAACAACCAGGCAACCTGTACATGGGCAAAAAGCATCTCAACCAGACTATTTCAGGCTGTTTTTTATGATTGTCATTATTCATTCATGTACTCCAGGGGGATTGTCGCGTGCCCGAGTGGCGAAGAATGCGCCTGGTTTGACCAAGAAAGCTGCCACCATGGGTTCAAAACATCCTGCTCGAGCTTGGGAACATGAGCCCGGCGCATCTCAGTCGAGAAAGCACACGCATCATCGACGAGTGCTGCTACGTGGAAGTTACATTTGAGCTCAGGTCGAAAGTTCGAGCAGGATGGTTTTCTCCTCCTGAAGGGCTTCGCGTCCAAAGATGAGCCGGCATCTCAGCTGACCGGCGTTCTTTGGAACGTTGATCTAAGTCTTCTCTCGCCTTTGGAACTACTCTGAAGCAGGTGTCAAAAGATGAAGGCCAGAATGGAGGCCGGGAAACTTCGGCATCTTTTCCCGAGCAAACGCCTTCATTGCCACTTGTGCCATGCGCCAGTGGAAATTATTGGGTGCAAAGCGGAGTCAACAGCGGAACTACAGCCCTGATGCTGCATCCGCTCTTGTTTCAATCAGTCAGGAACAAGTCGTCACAAGCAGTCCGGTATGGTTAGCTTCCGTTGCGGAGTACTAGAATCTCGTAATTTCGACTCAGGTGGTTTCTTGCATTCCCACACACTGAGCCAAGACCTTCGGGCACGCTCTCGCACACCTCGAACAAGATGATAGCTGTCTGATACTGCAGCTCATTCTCCTCCTTCATGACTTTTTAAGTATGGGGCCGTCCTTCTTCACTGCTATGGTTCTTATTTCTTCAGAACTTGCCTGTGCCCTTGAGGAGCTCGTGGACGCGTGGGATCCACAAGCAGAGTGCCAGCCCAAGTCAAGCGAGCTGACTGCTCAATTCTGCAAAGCTTTGGTTATGACCAGGTAGGAGGGAACTTTGGCAGATTGGTCCCAAGCACAACAGATCTGAGAGAGTGTGTGCAGGTTCATGACCCTCTTTGTATTCCAAGTCTCATTGCGTTGTTCTTCTCGGTCGTGGCCATGGCTCAACCCCCAGCATTCAGGAAGCTTACGAAGTTCTCCACCGATGTGAAGGACCAACTGGAGATGCAGGCCTGTCCGTCATTCCGTGGCGGACATGTCCCAGGCTCGTTGAAGGCCCCGAATTGCGCAGGGAGCTTCGGACTATTTCTTGGACAGTGCCGACCGAATCCATTTCTTCATCGAGAAGGATGCAGAGGATGAGGACCTCATGGCCACGCCCGGGGGGGTTTCGTCTCTGCTCTGTTGCAGCTCTTCATCCTGGAAGGATGGCAAGATCAAGAAGTCTGTTTCGAAGGCTAGATCCTTGAACAAGGCCGGGTAGCCAGTCCTTCGAAGACGCAAGCAGAGATGAAGTCTCGCAGCTTGCATTGGTCGTCAGACAGAGCAGCCGAACCCTCGTGCTGTGTGCGAGGTTGGCCACGGCCTTCACGTGGCAGTTTGCTCCCCAGTTCTCTTCGCGAGACTTCGCACTGCTTACGGCAAGTCCTGAGGATCCTCTGTTTCGGGAGTACAGCCAGTCCAGCAAGGCTTGGCCGGAGGGATCTTCTCGATCCAGCCTTCTTTTGAGCCAAGTGCTCGCGTTTTGGGGTTCGCGGAGAGCACGTGGCAGAGCATAGACCCTGTTTCAGGTGGCGGAGCTTGTTGCGGAGCTCGGCTGGCGTGACCCGGTGCTCTGCCCCCTGGGATCTGGTTGCCGGAACGGGCTAGACATGCGTAGGGATGTAAGGTTTGCGAACATAAGTTTTCCGTCGTAATTAAATTTGACCCTTACGGGCTTCAGACTCTAGACCTTGCATGACGCTTGAGAAACTGCAGCGGCATGTGCGGAGGTGTTGCCGCAGTCCATGTACATCTTCAAGCAGCCGGCTACCGGAAGCGAGGTCACCTCTCATCAGGCAGGAAAGGGGCAATATTAGCAACCTTCGATCTCAGGACTGCCTTGAGCGGCGACCTGCTTACGTTGCTGCGAGGATTCCTCCTTCCTGTACACCACCCCCAGGCCGACCTGCATGGGCTTGGGCTCTCAGAGTCGTTCAGATGACGGGAGCCATGATAATTTCCACGGATACTGTACACATTGTGACTTTGGCTAGGGCTATACAGTGGTCGTGCATGAGGGTTCTGAGGCCAAAGATGCGATCCCCTGACCGACACGGACATGATAAGATAACGACAGACGAGACGCGAGAGAAACATAGTTTGGGAGTAGAGATCCCCTTGGGTGCCTCAGGTGGTACAGAGCAGAAGTTTCAATTGATCCCCACCGTGTGTAGATGTCCGCACATAACTGCGCGTGATCGAGAGAGATATGCTTGTGAAGAGAAGTCATCTCATGCAGACGTCGAAGTTCATCCGCCCCAATCTAGGAAGTCTCAGGTCTGTGGCTAGCCTTGGACGATGCCACTCTGGAAAACGGCTGCTTGTGGGCCAGGCATTGCGTATCTTGCTCGCTGGAGGAAAGGATTTTCAATTTTCGAGGCTTTAGAATGCAATTTCTCTGCGCCATTCCCCTTCGATTCATCTCAACGCCTGGCTTTTTGACTGGAGGCCTGGCTCGCACAAAGAAGCTGTTCGAAGGATCTTCGCACGTGTCTCAGAAGATGGTGCTGGCACCTTTGAAGGTTTGTTCCACTTGGGTGTGATACTTCTTGCCGTCAGCAGCTCTTATGGGCAATGATGTTCGCTTCTTGACCGTTTGCGGAGTTGGCAAACCGCTGAGGTGCGGAACCCCGAGTACTTCGAAGGAGGAAACCGGAAAGCAACGCCGGGTGCCTGGTGAATGCACGTCCCCGTTAGGGCAGGGGCAGCATGAGGGACGGCATGGCTCTGAATGCCCTAAGCCTAAGTTCTACAGTAAATGCGGTAAATTTCGGTCACAAGCGGTCACAAGGGGTCCGATTCTCTCGCGCATGTTGCATTCGAACAACCCTTGTACTCACCCGAACATCAAAGCACTGTGCACTCCGGTGCCGGCATCCTTTTCCTCAAAAGGGCAGCAACACATAGCTCATAATAGGCAGCTGATCTTCGAGAACCTGGATGACGGCAAGGCCATGTCCGTGTCAGCTGTTTTCCTTGCGTTCTCGGTCCGAGCAACCGACCCCGAGCCGAGGGGCACCGGCACAATCAGAGCATGGGTTTCCACGACACAGTTCGTGTCGTTTCTGGCGGGGCCTCACTCTCCACATCACATCCCTCGCTCGCCATTGTGCAGGTCCCGCCATGGGAATGGGAGGCATCGGCTAGATTCTGAAGTTTGTCTCTCTGTCTGCGCGCGCATGCACAGGAGCCCAGGTTGTGATCTCAGTGAGCCCTGAAACGAACAGCCACAAACAACCGGAGAGCCTCAGGGTAACTCCACAGCCAGCTCCAAGCTCCTCAAAAATCAAGCCTCTCACAGGACCCCAAGCGGCGCCCCTGCAACTCTATCCCTATCTCAGGGCAAGATGCCCGCCGGCTTTGAGCCACCAAGTGCCAGGCTAAGGGGACCTGTAGTGGCCGCGAAAGGAGTTCGAAGGTCTCGCAATATTCCCGCATGGTTGCCGTCGTTGTCCGCTGAGGCAGCGGCTTGCGTGAGAAAGGCTTCGCAGCCTTGGAGTGTGAGGCACGGCGAGATGCTTGACTTCTTTTGAAAGCCAAAGCATCCTCGCCATGCGCCGGAGCGACAGGCTGGTGATCTCGTGGTCATCCACGGCCAGGCAGCAATACTGACTGCAAAGAGTGTTGTTCAAAAACACTATTGGGTTAAAAGTTCTGGTTTCAAACAAGTTTTCTCCGCCAGATAGATCACCTGTCGCTGGCGAATACCAGCAGCAAGCCTCCAGCCTGCAAGCAGTGCCTGCGAGTGAATGGGTTTGTGGGTCAGGGAACTAGGGCTGCAACTTCGAAAAAGCAAGATCACATGATCGGGTTTGTGCGCGAGAACTTTGTTGCACGTTGCAGTGAGACGCGGCAACGTGATTGTTCAGGAAACCTCGAAATTAGAACATCCTCGGTCGTTTGAGTCTAGCACCTCTTCGACGTCCAGGCCTCGTGAGACCTTCCAGCTGCATCTGGTCGAAGGGCCGCGAGCTGGAACATGTCGTTGCTCTTGTTTGGGGTCTCAAGGTGGTCATTGGATAGGCCTGGATCGGATTGGGAGGCAGTGCTAGACATGAAGCAGTAAGGGCGGCCTAGTGGCAACTGGGCTGTTCAAAGAAACACGGACAGTTGGGATCCTGCTGTCAAGTTGCGATGCATATGTCGATGTGCAGACGCGCCAGTCCTTTTCTGGCCTTTGCAAGAAGAACTACAAAGGCCTGGCGAAGGCATCACATGGAGTCCGCGAAACTGGCAACTTGGCGGTCTTTTGGAGTACAGACTATTGCTTAGAGGCGAAGATGCTCGGGACGCAGATGTAGCTGCAGAAACTTAGAGATGCATATCGATGACAGGCTGCATGAAGCATTCAGTTGAAGAGACCCCCAGCAGCTGATGTTCGTTTCCAGTATCATAACGAAACCCGGTCATTGGACCTGCAACGCTGCCACCACCACCTTTGCTGCTGTGCCACTGTCCTCGTCCTACCAATTGCTCCACAAAGCGGAGCTACAACAGCTGGAATGACGACCTCAATAGGACAGACGCCAACTATGTTTGCTTGCATTTCCTGTTCAGGCTGTCTTAAGATTATCACTTGCTTATAGTCCCCTCCTTGTATCAACAGTGAACTTTAATTGGACCATCTCACGGCCTCGACTGGTTACATAGTCAGTGATGAAATGAATGTTCTGCTGTTACGGCCGGCAACACAGGTGGGCGGTGCAAGGAAACCTGCTTTGGTTTGGCATCGATCTCGTTGAAGATGGACAGATCGTCTGAAATTCATGGCATAGCACTTCGGGAAACAGCTACTTACCAGATAGATGTGCTAGAACGCATGAATGAAACAGTGCTGGGCTCAACGAACGCTGCGCTGTACTGACCATCCTACGAAGATTGTTGTCGCAAGCATCCTCACCAACGGCTGATTTCATTCTCACCGCCGCGGCACAGGTTGCAGTATCCTGCCGGCAAAGCTTTCCCATCCCTGCGGCCTGGCAGCCGCAAGCGCAAGGCCTCATATTTCAGCATTCCGGGCATGGGCAAAACCAAATTTCTGCGTCGCATCCTATTATTATATATTAGTATATATGATTATATATTGCTATATTTAATAAATTATTAAATATTATTACATAGACATGTTCTGCTGCAGATTTTGGGCTCCCGAGCTGCCTCAAGCATAGATCAGCTCAGAGCTTCCGTTTCGGGGTGGCACTGAGCCAATGGGCCGCCTGCTTCGCAGAGGCGCGGTTATGGGTTCCAGGGTTTCGGCTTTCAGGCCTCCATACCAAATGTAATATAGTACAATATATAATATACAACATATATATATATGATTCTATATACTATATATAATATATTATACATAATATATAATATGTAACATAATCTACATAATAGATAACAGATAACATATAACATATAGCATATAATATATAATATGATACACAATCTATAAAATCTGCTTTGAGGCATTGTGCTACCTGCGCTGGCGGCCTTGGCCTCGGTGACAAGCCCATTGCAGCGCATCAAAGGTGGTGAAAGCATCTCTCGATTGGGGGCATCTCTGCCACCCCCTTTTCGCTCTTTTAGTATCCATGGCTTTCGCCTCTATGGCAAAAGGGCGAGAAATGCCCATGAGTTTCAATGCAGCCATGCAGGCGACGGTCGTTTATTCCTTGGCGTTTGCCGGAGGCGGGGCTCCCGAACCGCAGACTTTGGATCGCTCCGGGTGGGCAGCGTCTCGGAGGTTGGAAGCCGCAGCAGACGCGAGGCTTTGAGCTCGGCGCCGGAAATCCCAGAATCCCGGGCAATCCCTGAGTTCTTGGCACAGGCCATCGCAGTGCTCTTGCAGCGCAAATCACGCCATTAGGAAACCAGGCCCGATGTTGGGAGTCGGGATGAGCTTGACAACTCGTTTTTTTGTCAGAAGGTCTTCAGGGCGGCAAGACTGGTAAGCGCTCTACGCCAAGTCAAAATCCACCGGCTCCACAGCATGGCATCGCCTGACTTTTGGGGTGTGACTTGGAGGTGCAGCTTGAGCCTCTTAAAATGGAAGCAGCGCTCCATCTTGAGCTCGTTCGCGTGTCGTTGGAATGTTTTCAGAGGCTTGCTCGAGTTTTGAGGATGGTTTCCAGCAGGCAGAAAGGCAGTCTAACCTGCACGCTTCTTGAGCTTTAGGCACCAATACTGCAAAGTCGAGACTTTCAGAGCCAAAAACTCCTGAAGTTCTCCAAACGGCGTCTGCAGGTTCTCCTCGAGGAGCTGGATGAAGCCGAGGACCGAGCTACGGTTTAGGATTTCCAAGAGTCTTGACAACAGAAAGGGCGGGCATCGAATCACTTGCTACAATTGTTGTTATTGTTATTATTATTACTATATCTCGAAGGCCAAGCCAGCATCCACAAATACTCCTCTATTCAGACCTTTAGGCTCCCCTGCCTTGTCCCAACAGCTCTTCGGCGGTGTGCTGCGAAGACCCTGCTGTGACTTTCCTGTGCAAAGGACGTAGGTTGCTACCATTCGCTCTTATCTCTCGCACATCACAAGACGACTACGAGCCACGATCTCGAGCTTTTGAGTACACCACTTTGGTGGCCCGATGGTTTAGTGGAATGAGCTTGAGGAGAGAACTTGGTTCTAGGCCGATCTGCATACTGTCGCGAAGACGACAAAGAAGCTGAGAGTTTGGCATCCACTTGCGAGAGAGACGGCAAACAGCAAGGAAATTCCTACGCAGAAAAGAGGATAGCCATGGAGAGAATTGGGGGTATATAACTGTCGTATCTGTCGTCGGCAGGGAAAGGCCCTTTACGGGCGCTGGTCTGTCTTCAGGAGACATCCGGCCTCCTTCTCGCCGAAGGGAGCAAGAAGAAGACCCGGCTTCGACTAGGCCCCTTGCAAGGGAATCGAAGTTATTTTAGGGTTCAGGGTCCCTTTGGAGAGGTTTTGTTTTGAGTTGAGGGCTCCTTTTCCAGGTCGTGGCTTCTCTCGACAGGACTCCGGACTACGATGGGCAGCGCCAGATGCTTCTCCCCATGTAAATCGATCGGTTCGTGCAATAGCAGGTTACTCCAAGACCTGCGTCTAACATCTTTGTTGTCAGTCTCCTTCTGATTCCAGTCGTGCCCACAAACCCTTGCAGTCAGTCCAGCCCACAGTGTCTCATAGTGTCTGGCCGAGGGTGATGGTCTTCAATTCCAACTTTTACCAGACTTGCTCCACAAGACTTCGACTGCGCGCTGGCCCCTGCATGCCTCCCTTCCCGAGCGTTTTTTTTTTGAATTCCGCATGCAGGCCGGGTGGAAGCGCTTGGTGCCGGCCGAGCCGAGGATAAGTGCAAACCTCAACAATCAAAGTCAGCAGCGCAACTAGTCTCTATCTGAGTGGTCTTCACGGTGGTAGAGATGGTGGTTGTGCTGCCGGCGGCACGGTGGTGCAGTGGCGTGTGGCAACTGTTTGCTGAATGTTGCGGCTGTAGCAGCATAGTGGCATAGGGAAGTGGCGCCAGTGTGGGCCTGGTGCCGGACTCGTTGCTGCTCCGTCTCTGAGAGGAAGCGGGAGGTGTGAGGGACGGCGTGAGAGGGAACGGTT